TCTTGGTTGCTACTTATCAGGCCAAGCCCACAGTAAATGTGTAGGTCTTGCTGGGCATGGCCTGTTTCAGCGTCTGGGGAGTTATGAATGTGCAATGTTCAGCACCAAAAACAAACATTTCTATTTCTGACCTATGATGGAGGGAAGATCATCGAAACAGGTGAAGATTGTTGGGCTGAGGATGCTCTCCCAAGGAACACCTGCAACGATGTTCTGGGGTTAAACTGAATGACCTCGGAAACCACAATTTGGTGTTATCTGACTCCTGACAATGGAGAGTTCCCCATTCCCTCTTCCCCAGATCCACCAGCTCAGTCAAATGCTGCCTTGGGCAGTTCCTTTCACCTCACTTCTGGAATTCAGCTTTTACTTCTCCTAATTTTGATCAATGTAGCACTGAAATCTAGAGCACTGGTGAACAGGAATAGTGGAGAGTATGAATAACTTGATTGCACAATCACAGCACGTCAGTGGTGATCAAGTCCCCAGTGATTACCTAGATTGAATTTGTCCTGTTTGTAGACGGACATATCTAGGCTTTTGCTCTGCTCTTGCAGCCACAGTATTTATAGGGTAGCTTACTCTAACAATTGGACCTAATGACTTCAAAGTGATGTGTTGAAATCACTACACTGTCCTTTTATTACTGCTCTATTATCATTGTTACATGCATGCCCCCCAAAAATGAAAAATCCTAGCCATAACCAAGCATTTATAAAAACTTAAGTTTAAAAAGCTACTTAATGTTATTAAAACAATATAAGCCTGCTGTAAGATGATTTCTTGGGCTTTTATTGAAAAATAGGAGCCCATTTATTTCTTCTGTTAAAAAAATTCAAGAATTTGGAAGACTGGAGATCAAGAGCCCATAAGACTTACGGAGATACTGCTGTTATCATTTCCAAAGGTCTTTAGTCGAATAAGGAGGAACGCTGCTACTGACAGTAGAGTAAGTAACCAAAAGGACAGATTTAAGTTAATTGGCAAAACAGCAATAAGGAAGTGGAGTCTTTTTTTTGAAGAAGGTATCAGATAATGAAATTCTGAAATGAACTATCTGAAAGGGAAGCACGTACAATACTTGTTTCAAAAGGGAATTGGTAGATGATTAAAACAAAACTGAAGGCGAGCAGCAAATTACAGTGAGACTAACCAAAAAGCTTGGTAGTACAAACTTTAAACTTTGCTGAAAACGACACAAGAAGTTAAGCCTTTTGTCTTACACTGAGCAGAACTAGGATGGAAGAAAGACTTAAACAAAAGATTACCATTTTCTACAGCACGAGACTGCTGACTCATTGGGCTGTCACTGGCAGACAGGAAGCAAGAACAGTTAACTGTCAGTCTTACTTCTCAGATCAGGCAGGTGGTTTCCAATTGGTCAAGACATGGTAATGGGGTTGCAGCAGTAACTGGCTGTCTCCAAGGCCTTTTTATTCAAAAAAAGTTGCTTTGAATGCATAAATTCCTTCTGCCAAATACAGTCCTGAGTATTTACTTATGTAGCTTCTAGTATGTGGAAATGTAACACGCTGCAAGTCCAATTGTAATCTTAAAAGTTTCTGTTGTAACTCCTTGCAATAGCAGAATCACATCTAATGGTGGATATACTTTTCTGAAGCTTGCAAGCACTGGCCGGATGTGCACAATCGACAGGCTGTGCACTGCAAATGGTCAACAGGATGCATTATTTGCTATTGACCACCAGTTACCGAAGTCTACATACAGAGCATCTCACTGGCACCGAATCTCATAACATTACTCATTTATGTATTGGGCAAATGTCTTTTTGGCTTGATTGCAGTGGTTAGTGGACAATACCACTCATTGATTTACTGCATAGTAGCAACATGAAGCAACTAGCTTCACCGATAGTCCAAATTTTGAGACACTTTCCCTTTCCAGGGTAATCTAATAACTGGGCACTACTTAAGGCCAAAGATTGTGGATGTAGGCCCTTCCCAGAGTTCCTTTTAGAAATAAGTGATGATTTGATCAGGCATACATTATCATACAGCATCTCAAAACTATCCTGTATCTCAGCATAAAGATTGTATGGTAAGCAGATGGCTAGGGCCTTATTCAAAAAGGTTGTTAACAAGATTGATCTTGGAGCATAGAGCTGTAGGAATCCAAATACCTATATTTACCAGTGATCGTAGGCTTTTGGTAGATAGTAGCTGCAAACCCATTGTCAGATATCTTAACTAAGGGAGCTTATTTAATTGTTCAGTTCAATGACAATGCCTGAGCACAAGATGGTGTTAAGTTGTGAAAACAAAATTCTTTCCAGCTGGGGATTCAAATATCTCAAGATGTCATCAACATATCAGAAATATCCAAGATGTAGGTTACCTGTCTGTCTACTGAAGATCCAATTCACATGGTAACCAACAAATATGTTAGCAAGGGCTAGGCTGAGGAAATCCCATGGCAATGCTGTCAGTTTGGGCATACATGGTATGATGCTGAACTGAACTGCATAATTTGCAAAGCTCATGAGTTTGATCAACAAAACTCAGTCATTTCTAGACTACCATAATATAGTGATAGTATAAACATCTAACCCTAAACAGTTAATTAACAATATGTTGATAAATAAGCTAGCAATCTCAATAAAGCAGCTGGACATGCAGTTGCTCTCAACATGCAGATCTTGTATTACACTATGAAGTATTCCTTCACATTGCTGTGTGGAAAACTTACTTAGGGCCAATTGCAATAGCTCTCTCTACCATTGGCTAATTTGTATTGTGCAAGGCCAGTCAGCCAACAGATCACTTATGTCTCAGGTAGCCAATATATGCATGGAGGCAGAGAATCATAAGAATGAATCCTACAGGTGGTTTTCCTATAACGTGATGGTTCTTGTGGGACCTTGTGCTGCAGGGAATTGCTATAGAAGAGACGTTATACTTGTACAGCAGAAAGTTTGCACTATCCAAACAGCATCCACTATTCATCAATCGTGTTACAGTCAATTCGCGTTAACGAAACACATATTATAGCAGAACTACCTGTATGTATCACTAGACAGGTTACTACCCTTTCGCTAATCCAACAAGTGCTTCTGCAGCTTGCCCTCAAATGTGGCTGTTCAGTCATACAAAGTGGTAGGTCTTATGGATATAAACTTGGAACCATCAATCAGCACAACATGCATTTTGTTAACGTAATCATATTTGTTGAGTATGACTACTCCAACTCCTTGGTCAGGCTCACATACACGCAAGGGTTTGCCTTGATATTGTGCAATGCTACCAGCCATTTACAGGGCAATTGGAATCTGTCAGGTTATTAGCTGTTCCAGTATCTATGTGCCAGCCCTGCTAGGTCAGCTTTCAGGGCTTCATCATTTTTGGATACTGGTGTGAGGTGAGATAACTGGTCACAAATGAGTTCAAACTCAAAATTCCTTCCTATTTAATGTGGAATAAGGGCACAAAGTTTCATAGATCCCCTAGTGTGGAAGCAGGCCCTTTGGCCCAACGAGTCCACATTGACCCTCAGAGCATCTCACCCAGACCCATCCCCCTATAACCCACCTAACCTACACATCTCTGAACACCATGGGCAATTTAGCACAGCCAATCCACCTAGCCAGCACATCTTTGAACTGTGGGAAGAAACCCACGCAGACACCGGGAGAATGTGCAAACTCCACACAGACAGTCGCCCAAGGGTGGAACTGAACCCAGGTCCCTGGCGCTGAGAGGCAGCAATGCTAACCACTGAGCCACCATGTTGAAACCATGACTGGGAAAACATCTGCTTATTTTCAGCAAGTGTGTGTTTGGAGATATTTATCATGTTTCGCAGCAGCACGAGTCTCAGTGCTGGTGTGATGCCAGGTATATAGGCCATATCTTCCAACAATTGGCAGGCCCTATTTAATATCCCATTGATCAGAATGCTTCCTGCTGTGAATAGTCAATCTATGCTTGCAAGCCTTAGAAAAGTATTTCCAGCACTAGGTGTGATTCTACTGTTAGAAATCATTTACTTACTAACCTAAACTATGCCAAAGAGTTACATCGAAAACCATTTCAACATCAGCTGTATTATTAAATGGTAGAGCACGTTTGATCAATCCTGCTCCCATGTTCTATGTTCAAGTTCTACCATCCTACTGCTCAGGTTCACGTAAGTGGGTAATCTGCCTTGAGACCTCTACAGCAATACCATTGGATTATCAAAAAACCCTTTGAACACAGCAAAATGTTAATGATTAAGGTCTCTTACAGTAAGTGCGTTTGGCCTTTTACTTCATATTAAGAATTTGTATTTCAAATTAAAGCTTTGCTTCCATAGCTCTAAGAAATTAAGACTACTCCCTTTGGAAAGTAGATGTGAGCTATTAAAATAAACTCTCAGGATAAACTCCATGTCATGTCTGATCCAAGGTGTTTAAAAATCTGAAGCAGCTGTTCAGTGGCTTTATGCAAGATGAGAAGATCCCACACTCAAACTTATAATACATATTCCTTTACATCCTAAATAATCTGATTATTCTCACATCTTTGATTGGTTTTACCCGAGGATAGGGCAGTTTTCATTAGTAAATGACGTTGAAAATTGTTTAGCAGGTGTTCATGCAATGCATTAAATGGCATAATTATCAAGGTTTCCCCAAAGGAACATGATGCTGACTTCGAGGCTAAAAATCCCCAATTCCATGAATATTTCAACCTGTTCCAAGGCCACAGACAGTACCTTTTATTAGCAGAGCAGGTCGTCATCACAGGCTCTTCGACAGGTCGTACAGACCAAGTTGGGAACGCAACACAAGCTTCATGTCATGTCCTGTGCTGACTACTGACAAGGGGTCAAGTCCAGTGAAGGAGCATAAAATTCCAGGATAGGGTAATAAGGTCAAGGACCTGATGTAGTCTAAGAGAAACAGCACTTAAACAATTTTTTTGCAATAAGTTGAACAGCTCTAGTGACAGGCTTCAATTTTTATAAAGCACAACTATTTCAGCAAAACAAGCATTTCTAAATTTACTTTGTTCAACGCATTTATTGCATTTCAAAGGGCATACATGCACTGGATCATAAACAAAAAAATCAAACAAATTTAAATAAAAAAAGAGTAATATTTTAAATATAATGCATTTTTCCACATTAATTCCAGATACGTTTACTTGGAATAGTACAATATATAGATATACTGATAGATCTGAAGAGACATAAATGAAACACTTTCAAACTGCATAGCATTTTTACAAAACAGCTGCCATGCCTGAGAACACTAATTCCACTGATCAACAGTGATCTCCTTTGTTGGTGCCTACACCTTTTGCCAAGCAGTTTGCAGAAACAATATGATGTTTCCCTGGGAATCACACAGTACATGTTGTTTCCAGTAAGGGTGGAAGGGTATAGGAGAGATTCTGGGTATTGTTTGAGATTATCTATTTGCATATAAAAACATACTGACAACACTAATGATAAAAGGACTTCCAAATAAAAATAAACAAAATATGGTATTGCTGGATGGAAAAAGATTAAAAGTTGGTACTGGACAAGAAGAAAAAAAAAGTGCATTTGAACTGCTTTGTGATCCCTCATAGTGAAGAGACATCCGAGAACATAAACCCATTATCGTCTTTTCCAAAATATGCATTCTCAGTGTCCAATATTTTACTTCTGGTCCATTAAGCAAAGAATACATAACATAAAAGAAATTAAATACAGAAATTTAACATACTGATAGATATAAATAGGAGATCTATTTAGATAACATTTTCTGTCTTGGCAAACAGCATACATTTTTGTCAACTAATACCTTTATGCCAAGATCAGTGCAGACTATGGAAGTTTAACATCAATTTATATTACTTTAAGGAATTATAAATAATTTTGAACGTAATGCACAAATGTTTCCTTAAAAATAGTTGGATTGAATGTTTAACCCAATTTTTGCAGCTGTGAATTGCTTCGGACAAAACTTCAGACTTCAGATTTGATGGGTGTGAGCACATTAGTTTATATGTAAATTGCTATTAGAATCATGACTGTAAGCTAATAGGTATACAGAACAGACATGACATACTAGGCTCTGCAATGAAATTATATACATTTGCACTTTGAAGAATACAAACACATTACTCCAAGTGGCTCATCACACAACAGCTGCAAATCTGCAACCTAAACTATGAAGTTAGGTACAGAGAAGCACTAAAAGGCATCAGAAACATACACCCATCTTTCAAGTTGCGAAACACAATCCAAAATGCACAACTCCTGATAGGTTAGGGCATAACATCAAAAAGTACACATTTCTAAGGGTTACTTTCACGGTTGTGCTACACCTTTTACAATATGGAAGTCTGAATAAGCATTGAAACATGACTGGTGGATTGCTTGGGATATTCAATATCAACTGTTGTCACCTTCAGCATTCCCATCATCGCAAGAACTGTAGCTGCAAAGCAAGTCATAAATGAGATCTCTCAGTTAATTAAATTGAATAACAGTATTCAACATATTTCTCAATTCTTGAGCTCAGATCCAAGTCTGGAGCAAGAATATAACTGCTGATAGTTGGAATATGTAATTTTTATTCAGCTGTGACTACACTACATAAAGTAAAATGCTTTGACACTTCACGCTCATGAGAGGTACTAGAAACAATTTTTTTTTCCTCCAAATATTAAAGTCACATATAGAAAAATCTGGAATTTTAGAATTTAAGATGACGCCTTACGTAAAGACAAAGCTCAAGTATTTTGAACAATTAAGTGCATTTCTGTCATTATTCCATGGAAAAGAACTAAAAGATTGGCACATTTTGTTCACTATCATGTAATACATTTAAGTTACGGTCTTTTTACCTAATTTCAGGAAGAAAAAATATGCCTTTGATGAACTTTAAAAATATCACCAAAGGTGGTGTCAAAGTGTTGCAAAATAAGAAAAAATGACAACCAATTTCCATAAACGACATAAATGACCAAATAATTTGCTTCAGCAACATTATTTGTGAAAAAAAGATTGGCTAGCACTTTGGGAACACTCCGATTCCTGTGATTATTTATGACCATTCAAGTGGACAGATAAGTCCTGATTTTATTACTATGTGTGAAAGACGACTCAAACATTGCACCTCTATCACTATTGCATTGAAGTGTCCATCTTAATTACGTGCTCACCTGTGGAGTTCAGCTTGAACTCGCCACTAATTTTTGGTCGTAGTGCTACCACTGCTCCAAGGCTCAAACAAAATCATTGAATCCCTAAAGTGTGGAAGCAGGCCATTTAGCCCATTGAGTTGACACCATACCTCGGAAGAGCATCCCACCTAGCTCCAATCCCTACCCTATCCTTGTAATCCTGTATTTCCCATGGCTAATCCACCTAGCTTTCACATCCTTTCCATAGAATCCTTAGAGTGGAAACAGGCCATTTAGCCCATTGAATCTCACTGGCCCTCTGAACAGCATTTCATCCTACCCCTGTAACCCTGCATATCCTGTGGCTAATTCACCTAACCTGTGCACCCCTGGTCACTACGGGCAATTTAGCATGGCCAATCCAGCTAACCTGCACATCTTTGCATTGTGGGAGAAAAGTCAGTGTGCCCACAGGAAACCCACGCAGACACGGGGAGAACGTGCAAACTCCACACAGACAGTCGCCCGAGGGTGGAATCAAACACTGATCACCGGCGCAATGAGGCAGCAGTACTAACCACTGAGCCACCATGCCGCCAAACGTAACACATGAAAGCATTCAACAGAAGAAAATGTGCTATTACTTTCTCAAACTAACGACAAGGCTAAAGGTTTTGCAGTTATTTACATGTGATCAGTAGAGCAACTTCAGGCAAGGATGCAGTTGAGTGGAGAAACCCAAAAAAAACTGCTTCGAAATTTGTATTGCTTCACAAAAATGGCTTCTTGTTTACTGCCTGCCATTGATTTGAATGTCATGATGTTTGCGTACTCTATCGAGAGACAAACTTTCTGCAGTCTGTTAAGTCATAGTCAAAAAGCCAGAATATGACAGGGTTGGTTATTTGGCCCATCAGCCCACGCTGACTCATTGTAGAGTGATTCAAACTAATCCCAATCCCCTGGCTCCAACCTCTTAGCCCTGCAAGTTCATTCAAATCACCATCCAATCTTCCTTTGAAATTATTCCGTCTTGGCTTCCACCAGCAAGTTGAATGTCATTACCATTCATAGAACAGAACTGTACAGCACAGGAATAGGCTCTTCAGCCCCCTATGCTGTGCTAAACATAACGCCAAAATAAACTAATCCCTTCTGCCTGCCCTTGGTCCACATCCGTCCATTCCTTGCACGTTCATGCTTTTATCTAAAAGTCCCTTAAACGCCCCTCTCGAACCTGCCTCCACCACCACCCAAGGCAGTGTATTCCAGACACCTACTAATCACGGTGGTTAAAAAAAAAGAAACTTACCCCTGATATCTCCTTTGAACTTTATCCCTCTCACCTTAAATGCATGCCCCCTAGTTTTGGGCATTCCAACTCTGGGAAAAAGATTTGACTGTCAACCCTATCTATAATCTAGATATCCCTTAGATTTCGAGAGAAAACAAGCTGAATTTTTCAAGCCTCTCCTTATAGCTCATACCCCCAAATCCAGGCAGCATCCTGGTAAACCTCTTCTGTACCCTCCACGTCCTTCCTGTAACGTGGTGACCAAACTGAACTCCAAATGTGGCCTAACCAAAAAGTGTTACAAAGCTGCAACATAATATCCTGACCAATAAAGGCAAACATGCCATACACCTTTGCCACCCTATCTACTTGCATGGCCACTTTCAGGGAGCTATGGATTTGAACCCCAAGATCTCTGTTACAGCAATGCTGTTCAGGGTCCTGCCGTTAACTGTATACTTTTCCTTAACATTTGATGTCCCGAAGAGCAGCACCTCACATTCACCTGGATTAAACTACATTTGCCATCTTTCCGCCCATAACCGCAACTGATCTATATCCCGCAGTATCCTTTGACAATCTTCTACACTATCCACAATGCCACTGATCTTTGTATCACCTGCAAACTTACTAATCCACCCATTATGTATATCACAAACAGCAGAGGTCCCACTATGGATCTCTATGGAACACCACTGTTCATGGACCTCCAGCCAGAAGAACACCCTTCCACCACTACCCTCTGACTTCTATGAGTTAGCCAATTCTGAATCCATGTGGCTAAGCCACCATGGATCCAGGGGAATCTTAATCTTCATCATGGATGGCTCATCCAGAACCTTGTTAAATACCTTACTAAAATCCATATAGACAACATCCACTGCTCTATCCTCATCGATCACGATTGGCACCTCCTCCAAAAATTCAAATCAAGTTAGTATGACATGACCTGCCCCGCACAGCCACGCTGACTGCCCCTAATTATGCCATGCTTTTCCAAATGCACATAAATCCTATCCCTAAGAACGCTCTCCAATAGCTTCCCAACCACCGATGTGAGACCCCTCGGTCCTCAGTTTCCTGGAACAACACTAGCTACTTGCCAGTCCTCCAGGACCTCTCCAATGGCTAGTGAGGATACAAAGATCTTGGTCAAGGCCCTAGCAATCTCCTCTCACCTCTCTCAATAACCTGGTGTGGATCCCATCAGTCTTTGGGGACTTATCCACCTGAATACTCTTCTAAAAACCTAACAACTTCTTTCTTGATCTCAAGATGCCCTAGCCTATTCACATGGTCCACACAAATCTCACTAACCTTCATATCCCTCTCCTCGGTGAATGCCAACACAAAGTACTTATTTAGGATTTCACCCACATCTTCTGCCTCCAAACATAAGTTCCCTCCTTTATCCTTGAGCGGTCCTCCCTTCTTGCTAGTTATCCTCTTGTTTTTAATGTATGTATAGAATGCCTTGGGATTCTCTTTAACCTTTTAGCAAGGCATTCGATAAGGTTCCACATGGTAGGCTCATTCAGAAAGTAAGGAGGCACAGGATTCAGGGAAATTTGGCTGTCTGGATACAAAACTGGCTGTCCAATAGAAGACAGAGGGTAGCAGTAGATGGAAAGTATTCAGCCTGGAGCTTGGTGACCAGTGGTGTGCCGCAGGGATCTGTTCTTGGACCTCTGCTCTTTGTGATCTTTATAATGACTTGAATGAGGAAGTGGAAGGGTGGGTTGACAAACTTACTAATGACAAGGAGGTTAGTGGAGTTGTGAACAGCGTGGAAGGCTGTTGTAGGTTGCAACGGGACATTGACAGGATGCAGAGCTGGGCAAACTGGCAGACGGAATTCAACCCAGAAAAGTGTGAAGTGTGAAGTGATTCATTTTGGAAGGTCGAATGTGAATGCAGAATACAGGGTTAATGGCAGGATTTTCGGCAGTGTGGAGGAACAGAGCGATCTTGGGGGCCACGTCCATAGATCCCTCAAAGTTGCGACCCAAGTTGATAGGGTTGTAAAGAAGGCGTACGGCATGTTGGCTTTCATTGGCAGGGGAATTGAGTTTAAGAGCCGTGAGGTTATGCTGCAGCTCTATAAAACTCTGGTTAGACCACACTTGGAAAATTGGGTTCAGTTCTGGTTACCTCATTACAGGAAAGATATGGAAGCTTTGGAGAGGGTGCAGAGGAGATTTACCAGGCTGCTGCTTGGACTGGAGGACAGGTCTTATGAGGAAAAGCTGAGGGAGCTAGGGCTTTTTTCATTGGCGTGAAGAAGGATAAAAGGTGACTTGATAGAGGTTTCCAACATGATAAGAGGCATAGAAACAGTGGATGGTCAGGGACTTTTTCGCAGGGCAGAAATTACTCTTACAAGTGGGCATAATTTTAAAGTGATTGGAGGAAGGTATAGGGGAGATGTCAGAGGTAGGTTCTTCACACAGAGTGGTGGGCGTGTGGAATGCGCTGCCAGCAGTGGTGGTGGAGTCAGATACTTTAGAGACTTTTAAACTACTCTTGGATAGGCACATGGAGGATAGTAAAATGTAGGGCATGCAGGATAGATTGACCTTAGTAGGATAATAGGTCGGCACAACATCGTGGGCCAAAGGGCCTGTACTGTTCGATGTTCTACGTTCTTACTTGCCAAGGTCATTTCACGGCCACTTCCCATTCTCCTAATTCCCAGTTGAGTTCTTTGCTGCTTTCTTATATTTCTCATGGGCCCTGTCCGATTTTAGCTTCCTAACCCTTACATATACTTCTTTTTTCCCTTTGCACCATGTAAAAAGAAGTTCCTCTTTCACCAATCTTTCCCGTATGTTTTGCTCAAAATCTTAAACCTGCACCCCTAGAACTTTTCCATTTCAGTCTAAGTACCCGTATTGCATGTTAATTATCACTAATAAATCTCTGGCGCCTTTCCATCTCATTCCTTCATTTTCAAATTTTTGTTAAGAGCTAAAATTATCAAAGACCCCTCCCACCCCGGTAATGCTCTCTTCCAACCACTTGTGTTAGGTTTAAGATACAGAAGCTTGAACACATGCACCAACAGGTTCAAGAACAGTTTCTTCCCTGCCGTTATTAGATTGCTGAATTGATTGCCTAGCTTCGCGCACCTCCTGTGCGGGCAACCGCAATAAATCAAATCAAAATTGTGTTCTTTGTTTCTCTATTGCTTTTTTCTCTCTCAATCTAATCCATTGGTCTTTTTTATTTCTATCCATACCTATTTTGACATTGAATTTATCTTGTTTGATACACACTGCCCTCTTAGCCCTTCTATTGTTTATTTTAGAACCTTCCATTTGATTGGTTAGAGAATTACGTGCCTTGGTCACTCAGTCCTGGTGTGCCACATGATCAGCTTCCACATAAATTTTTTGCATGGCCAGTTCTTCAGTCAACTAAATGTTCAAGGAAAAGTCTATGAGTAAGCAGGAGTTAATGTCGCTTACCCTGCTACAGAAAATTATAGCCGAATTATTTGCAATTTTAAATTAATTTAGTTGCATTTACATTTGGGGTTTCAGTTTCAAAAGAAGATATTCAGTGAGAATTGATGTCCACTTTGCTTACAATGTCTTGAAAAATGTGTATCTAGCACAAAAATGCAAAAGACAAAGAGAAAATGATCTTCCACCTCCAGGATTCATGAACAGAGTGGATTTCATTACTTGCACAGATCAATTTTTACAGCTTATTTAAAAAAAACTGATTTTAAAAAAAAATCTGTCCTATAGGATGTGGATATCACTAGATAGGTCAGCATTTATGCCCGTCCTCTGATCTTGTTCCCAAATGTCTGATCAATTCCTTTGGAGCATTACATATTTCAATCACCTTCTGAACTGTTATTTCAGATCAGAAATCAATTACCTCCAAGTGTGATGAACTGTCTATTTATTACCCCCTTGGAGAACTTGTTCCCATATTCACCTTCTGGTATTTTTCTGCGACCGTAGTAATTTTCGTAGCTCCACATGGCCATAGCTTTAAAAAAGTCTGAATGCCTCAGAAAGAACTAGCTTTAAAATTAAACTCAAATTTCACCATCTGTCACAGAGAGGTTCAAACCCATACTCCTTGATCATTAGTCTGAGACTCCAAATTACATGTCCAGTGACATTACCACTGCACCACCACGTTCCCCTAGTTGATCTCAATAAGTATCTTCAAGATTTATGGATTAGAGAAGGAAAATCTAGCTCCTAGCTGCCACTATTGTCACTGCTTTGAAAATGATACCGGAGAGGGAACTGGTGAGTTCTGTCATAATACTGTGGTAACTGTATTACATCCCTATGATCACTGCCACAGTGAATAATATGAATAATATTCACTTGGACTAAACTCAAGACAGAGATCAGGTAGCACTTCTGAAAATACTCCAGCAAGGACACAGTAGATTCAGAAGGTGGGATGAAATTAGTAAGAAATTAAAATGCCTGCAATAAAGAATGCATAACAATTACATAATTACATTGTATACCGTGAAACATCAATTGGACCTCATTTTCTTTTCTATTCAGCATCCAAGTTAGGGTTTAAACTCTAGGCAATTATTTTTACATATACAAAAAAAAACATTCTTTTTGAAGTATAAATGTTAACAATATCCTTTGTGTGGAAACCTGTGCAATCTATTTTTAAAATTTCTATCAATCACTCGTAAAGCCACATTATTCATGCAATTGTAACTTTCAGCACACAAAATGAGTTCCAGGTAGAACCTGGAGTGTACCTTTGTTTACAAGAAATCCTTGATGTTTAGATCGGCTAGAGGGTCCTTTGTTGCGGGTTTCTTGGGACTCTGAGTGGCAGGCGTTGGGCTTGGGGAAAGCTAGCATAGTGGAGACCAAAGGAGGCAGAAAAAGCAGCAATGTAGTGAGGCCAAGAAGTTAGAAAAGGCTATAGTTATATATTACATGCACAAATCCGCTCATGCAACAATTTTCTGATTTCAAACATGATATATACAATATTTAAAGTTAGTTGTATTCATGTAGGTAAGAAACATGAAAGATTCAGCAAAAAAAAAACTAAGCGGAGGAGATTTTAGCAAAGCACAGCAGTAATGTTGCACAAAGATACACTTCTCAAATACACCACAGCAAAACTACCTTCATATTTAGACTCATTCAGGTTTCACATTTTAACTACATTATAACAATATATTTATTTTTAATCAAGGATTATTTCATCCTATTCTACCTCCACCCAACATTGCACTTCTGTTACAAATAAAGCAATGTAAATATTCATACCTCCTAGTCTTAGTCCTGCTCAGTTCAATTCTTAAAGGCATCACTGAAATCATGCTTTTAGGCAGTAGAATCTGCACTCCTCCGAGACAGATTTCACTCTCTAAGTTCCTTTCTGTTCACATCTTCATGTTCTCTATATCCTCTTTGTAAGAATTCTCTTATGAATTATAGGAAATACTTATTGGACTTTGTCCACCCAGTTTCATCTCATCACATCACTTTCACTGTAATAATTAACTACCAGGCTGGCATCTCATTCATGATTTCTTTTAAATTTGTAAAAGGCCCATAAAGTTGTGTTACACAGAATCATTCTCAATTACTTGTACATGCCCATTTAGAATTTGGATCTATTGCAAATTCCCTCGATGTTCAAATCGAAGTCAATGTATAAACTCCTCTCTAAATAAAATCACTTCTGACGATTCTTGGCAGAGTAACAACCGTATAATGATACCAAATACAGTTTCTAACACTTTCCTTTGTTTATTCACGATTGACAACTTCACCAGCAAGAATGATTTACTAATATGAAGTGATAATATGAATTAATTTATGACAATAAAGATTTCTGACCAATAAACATGAATAGCTAGTTAAATGATGCCTTTGTATCCATAACCAAACTTAATTGACTAAAAAAAATGATGGTAGCTGGCATTTTAAGTCCATTTGCTGAAACTATTTAGTTGTTTTCAAGTGGCAAGAAGAGAGCAAATCCCTTTCTCAAGCAGTACACTAGCAGGTTATGATGGCAGAAGCACTATGAAATGTTGCCATGAGTAACAAAATAGACCAGGCATACAAGTTAAAAGTGGGATGTGCAACATGGGTATGGTGATTACAGTATAAGTTGAAGATCAAAAAACATCAATTTAGAAATGGAGTTATAGAAAGAGTAGCAAGCTCACTCATGAGAGGTGGATGATAAAATTATCACAGGACTGTACAGTAAAGCAGGGTGATTTGAGATAATTCAGTGGTACAGATGCAAGTGTATTCCATTAAAACAAAGCAATGCCATTGTTAAGTCGAGGCTGGAAACCAATCAAAATTGAAGTACTCCTTTGGTACTGCTTTAAAGCATTAGCCCAGATAGACAAACCGGTTTAAATGCATGGAATGGGGCTTCAACTACAAGCTCATGGCTCAAAAGGTCAAGAGCTCTTTCTGAACCAAGTTGATATTTGCTGAAGAATGAGAGATTGTAGTGATTTGGCCCCACAAGTTTCCTTCTTACATATACTTTGAAACATTGATTTTCAACAAAGCTTTGTATCAGGAAAAATGTACTGAAGGGCATGGGCATGCAGAAAATTCCTAGTTTATCAAAGTCAGAAAGCCACCTGAACTACACATTCCTGATATGATCTTTCACATTTAAGTCCACATGTATGCTGCTTCTGAAAATTTACCTCAAATTGTTAGTTACATGTACATTGTATAATGTCATTGGAAGTTTCCCCTTTACTCAGAAAAAGTATTGTCTCTTGTTTCAGCCTAAGTAGCCATGACTAGATCAAGGCAGCATCATGACTTGAATTTGCACTACACAAACTTCTCTTTATGCCATCAATTTCTATTGTACAAATTTTCAAACACTTTGTCAAATGAGTCTCTAGAAAAGAAGACTTAGAACCTAATTTGACTTAAAAAAAAATAAATAAATAAATAAAAATAAAAATAAAAACTTACCGGTGCTCCAGGAACTGCTCCAGCTCCAAATGTTGGTCTCATCATGGGTTGAGGATACATCATTGGCTGCTGAGGCATCATGGGTATACCTGCACTTGCAGGTGGCTTAATCAAACAGCACATTTCATGAGTACTTGAGTTACTTATTACAAAGAAACAGTAGATAGTGTAACATGATTTTACAGTTAGCTAATTTGCTTGATAAGACTGCATTTAAATTAACAGATTAAGTAAATAACTCAAAACCCCTTAAGTAAAACTATACAGATCTTAATTGAGCAGTAAGCCGAGTTCTCATGAATCATTTATTACTTACTATCCCAAATCCAGGTACTGGTTGAGCAGTGGGTGGAGGACCTACAGGTGGAACAGCTCCCTATGAACAATTCACAGAAAAGCAGGTGAATATATTTGCGTAAACTAGTTTGACCAAAACATGCTTTGGCAGTGAAAGAAATGTTCTAACAAACTTTGCTGTTGGTGTGGAGATTAAAAATCAAGGAGGAAATACAATTTCCTATCTTTGTTAGGACCAAATTCTTTGAGATTTATCAGGCATAATGGGCAACCATAGACCAAAACTGCACGATCAAGACAAAGTTGCCTTTCAAAAGAAGTCAGAACTTGTCAGCAGTATCAAGATTCTAATTGGTTCCTTAAATCACTTCACTCAATTCATTCTTGCAATCTAGTCCCCATTTCTGAAGAAGGGTCCCAACCTAAAACGTCAGCTTTCCTGCTCCTCTGATGCTGCCTGGTCTACTGTGCTCTTCTAGCTCCACGCTGTGTGTTATGTAGAATAAGATAACCTGATTTATTGTTACGATCATTTTAAAGGTCCAGTAATTTCAACTTTAATCACTTTGAGCATGAAGGTCCAGAAGGGTCCAAAAAACGAATAGAAATGACATTAAATGCTGCTCAAGACAAAGCAGCTTTCAAATACAACTGCAGAAATCTACTTTGATCATGCATGCTCTCCAGCACAGATGAAATAATCTTTAATCCTGCATTATAGTCCTCCATCAGCATTTAATACATCCAATAACCTATGCTGAAAAAGATCCTGATGCACAGGAAACAGGTCCCTTGGCTTGTAATTTGCTTTGTTTCTATCTGAACATCAAGTCAAGCTCTACTCATTAGATAAAATTACAAAGACCTTGGAAGGAATGAATATTGTATAAAATATGAGATGTGAAAAATTGAGACAATTATAGGCCACATATTGGAGGAAAAACAACCTACATTTGTTGAACGTAATGTTTCAGTTAGTTGAAATGCCCTGCATCTTGGTCACTGTTTTACTTTCCACAGAACAACTGCTGTCAGATAACAGCTGGGTTTTAATAATTGTCAAGACAGTACTAACAGAGAATAAAAAGAGAAATATCTTTATTGAAACGAGGTTATGATTTTTAGGTTAAGATGATACGCTGCTCGTTCAGACAGTGATACAACACAGAAGGTGACTATTCACAAGTACCTCTTTTTGGCAGTTATCCCATTAATTCCACACTCCTATAACCTTCCCATAGTCCCATCATACTTCCTTTTCAGAATTACTGTTAAATCTGCTTCCAACATCTTTTAATTCCAGATCAGAACAATGTGCAATTTTCTTTTCCCTCCAATCAGCTCTGGTTCTTCTGTCAATCACTTTAAAAGTCAGTGCTCTAGCTCTCAATAGTTTTGTCACTAGAAACGTTTCTACTCATTTAGATAATAAAAATGATTTCCTATCACTTCTTGATCATCTTTGCTCTAAAGCGAACAACTCCAACTTTAATTGAAGGCCTTCACATCTGATTCCATAATGTTAAAAACACTTCTGCGTTTTCTGCAGCCTTAACTTTCCTCCTCAAATATGTACCCAGACTGAAAACAATACTCCAGTTGAAGCCAGAGAGTGTTTTTATATGGATTAATGTACCAGATTGGTTTTTGAAAAGTATGCCTCTTAATAAAGCCAAGGATTCTCTTCAGGAAAAGAAACCTTCGCAACTTGCCCTGCTATCTGCACAGAATTGTATAATCCACCCCATCCCTCGATCTCTTTTCTAGCATCCCCTTTAAAATTGTATCATTTTATTTGTATTTATTCTCCTCATTCTTACTATGAAAACACACCATTTCATATTTAGAGTCAGAATTAAACAGCACAGAAGGTCATTGTTTGACCATCAAGTCAATGTCAGCTTTTTTGTAGAATAATCTGGTCAGCCCCATTTGTTTACCCTTTGCTCACATCCCTGTAATTATTTCTCCTTGCAGTGCTTCCTTGGAACTTATCTTTCCAAAGTCAGCTGAAATATAAATGTGCTGGGAGGTACACAGAGGAACGTCCTCTGAGGCTGACTTTTGAAAGCTTCACTGTAATATCAGCCTATGGACCCGAAATAAGAGGCAAGGAGTGGTGTACTTGGAAGGTGAATCTTGCCATAGAGGCAGATGAATACCAGAGTCTTTGTGAAACAGTGACTACTCCAGCATTACTCAGAAACCAGGTAGCTATAAACCCCTGCAAGTGCGTGAACAGAAAATACTTTAAACTGCAATGCTACATGACAAAAAAAAACTGCAGATCTTGAAACTTAGAAAGAAGAACAGAAATTGCTAGAAAAACTCACCAGCTCTGGTGAGAAAAAGCAGAATTAATGTTTCAGGTCCAGTGGCCATTCTTCAGAACTGATTTTAGCTAGGAAAAGACTATGTGTGTAGAAGATTTTGGGGGGTAACTAGGAGTAAATGATAGGTGAAGCTGGTGCTCAGAGAGAGAAGGGCAATTGGGCAGACAAATGAATGAAAGCTCAGCCTATGGGAATCAATAGATGTTAATAGGGACCATTAGTGACTGACAACGTGTGGTTGGTGGTAGCAGCCCCGGTCACGACGAGGGACGGTGGTAATGGTGTTTGGAGTAAGGACAAGGGCAATGGTGCCCATCACAGTGAGCAAGCGGGAGCCCAGGGACAGACACAGACACAGGCATACAGGGAAGGGAACATTGTAAAGATATTACCACAAAATAAAACCAAATCTGATGTCGATGACGACGGTGATAGCAACCATGGGCTTGGGTAAAGCTCCGCTTAAAATGACATATTATTGAAGCACATCACAGTATTAAATTGATCCAATGGAACAAAAATCAATCAGAATACACTACCTCCTATTCTCTGGATTCAGGCATACCCTTTCTCATCATTCTTTTCATGCCCACATGGCAACTTTAATCCTTTTGGTAGACTGACTTCATTGAACCTGCATTTTTCAAATTGGACTGCCCAGTTTACCAAACTGTTTTCTCTCCTTAAGTGTTAATAATATTCATCATTTATTACATTTGAGTATTGATTTATCTGCAACATGGGAACAATGGAGAGGGATCAAAATCTTGCATTGCTGGCAAGATTGAAGCTGTTCTAGAATGGAAGATAAGTGAATTTGTGATTAGACTGCAAATATCCACTTGTGTTGTATTTTTGGAAGCGAGTAAACTGATCTGCCAAGAAAGGTTTACTTTCCACGGCTGTTGTTTCAAGGTTGTACACATCTTCTTGGTTGCAAAACACATTCTTTGCAATAAATTAAAGAGCTGCACAAACTTATTAACTGTATGCAATCAAATTGAGCTCAAATGCAAGAACTTTTAACAATGCAGTACGTTTTCTATAATGGTGCAAAGAACAGAACTGAATTCCTCGTTCAAGAGCAACTAGATGCCCTATGATGTCAACACTGCAGAGAAAAGGAGAGAAAGAAATGAATAGTTGGGATTTGCCATTTACCATTTGTAAATAGAAACTTGGAAGTAAATTCCAGTGACAACCTTTTTCCCATTATCTTGGGATGTAGATGTGAATGGCAAGGCAAGCATTTGTTGGCCATCCCCAATTGCTCTTGAATGAAGTGGCTTGCTAGGCTATTTCAGAAAGTAATAGAGTCAACCACATTGCTGAAGGCCATTACTGAACAACTGGTATTTTACAACAATCCATGACAGATTAATGGTCACCAATATGAAGACCAACTTTCAATTCTGAAGTTTATCATTTGAATTTAAATTCCACCAGGTGCCAAGGTAGCATTTTGATATATGTCCCCAAAGAATTAACTAATGACATTACCACTTGTCACTACATCAATGAAGTTTAACAACAAATCGTTGGGGTGGGAATTAAGTTGTATGGAGTTTTTCATTGAAATCTGAATCTTCAAACCAATGACACAATTCAATTTATTTTTGGTAATAAGATATCTTCTCCTAGGATTTAAATGCACAAACATTATAAATCCATAAAATAGCTGAAGAATTATTTGGTTGAAGATTAGAAATGCTAAGCTTGTTTGCACTGGAACAACACTGAAAAAGCTGGAGAAACTCAGCAGGTCTGGGAGCATTACAGGAGACAGAAGGTTCATACTGGACTTGAAGAACGTTAACTATTTCTCGATCCAAAAGTGCTGCCAGACCCGTTAAGTTTCACCAACATTTAGTGTACTTATTTCAGATTTCCAGCATCCATAATATTTTGATTTAGCTACGACTGAAGTTCAGAAGAGTGTAGGGTGACTTGATTGCTATTTAGATTACCTTGACAAAGCAGACATAGAAAGGATAATTTCCTTTTCCTTAAGAAGTAGGCAGATGAGTATTTCTTTTTTTCTCTTTGAAGTACTGTGCAACTCTGGGACTCTGCCTTGGCAGGTGGAAGTGAGCGGGGCTGGGGGGGCAGGGAAGTCACTGAATATTTAAGATAGAGGTAGCTAGATTCTATTAGGCAAGGGAATCAAAAGATTGTCAGGATTAGATAGGAATGTGGAGTCTGAAATACAAATAAGCCATGATCTTGTTGAATGGCATCAAGGGGCCAAATGTTGTACTTCTGTTCCTATTTCGTGTGTTTGGAACTGCACTACACACCAAACAAAGCACTAGTTATGAAAATACATAATGATTTAATATAAAATGAATAATGATTACTTAGGCGGTTCAAGTGAAGACAAACTACACAAGTCATCCTAGCAGAAGAATGTCTATAACTTTGTTATAACACCCATTCTATTGGTTAAAGCTAGTAAGAAAAATGGTGTCTGCAGAACATCAGTTTGGACACGGATTCCAATTCATTAACTTCCTGTAACACTGACATACGGATAGAGGTACCATTATCCTCATTTGACGTTACAAGCAAAAATGAATTGAAGACAAACTTCAGAAAGTGTTTCTCCTTGCAAAAAAATAAAAGGAAAAAAAAAAGTGAAATTCAAGGAGAAAAAATAGTTAATTTATGTCAATTATGAATGCCAGCAGGTAGCAATTTCAGTCAGTCATTCATTCGTACATACAGACAATTTATAAAGTCATTACAGAAGCGTTAGTGAAAATGTACAACAGCAGGTTAGTCACAATTGAGGAAAAATAAAAAAAAAAGCTGTTTCATCTAACATTTTAGGCAATGAAAATAGGAAAGTTGGAACAGTAGAAAAACATGTGACAAAGCCGTGAAGTGTTATGCCTTAGTAGTTTGAGATTATTTAAATAATTCTTAACTATTCAGAAACAGATATAGTACTATGACAGTATACAGATAATTCCTATTGTCTGAACGTTTCAGGTTCAGTGGCCCTTTCATAGAACGGACCCAAAACGTTAACTGATTTTTCTTCAGATGCTACCAGACCTGCTGATCTTTTCCAGCAACTTCTGTTTTTGTTCCTGATTTACAGCATCTGCAGTTATTTCAGCTTTAATTCTTATTGTCTTGTGGAGCTTCCATCTCTTCTACTTCATGTCTTATTTTTCTGCCTCCTCCTGTGCTGCAACCTTAGTCTCAATTCGTCTTTTCATAACAATTTGGGGTGTGAAGGGTTCTCAGTTATCATGCAATTAAAATTAAAAAGGATTGATGCTTTTTGCAGAGGTGATATTTCAAAAGAATGCTGCTCAGAAAGTGATTAGTAATGCTATCAAAGGCTATAGCATGGATAGGTCTCACTTACATAACTTGGAATTGGCCAACCATTCTGTTAAGGAAAATTGTAGTTAAATATATTACTCCTTACTAGTGATTTCTAATAGCTGTTACAAGATACAAATATAATAATAACTTAAAAAAGCTTTAATTGAAAATGTTTCTACCAACACTAATTTCAAGTATTAAATTTACTCTAAACTATTTTAACTTATTTCAGCACATTTACAAATGAATCACTTAACATTTAATGTAATGCCAGCAGAGAATCACTTCAGGGACTTGTGCTGAAAATTATTCCAGCATGGATTAGCAACCCCACGTACAAAAGAATGATGTGTATGACAGACCCATTGCAGTTCATACTCTCTGCGACACAAGCGTAACATTTATCCTTCCAAAACATCAATTCAATTACACAAAAATATCACATATCCAGGGAGGAATAAAATTTATTTCAGGAAGAATTGGTCTGATATGCATTTGTGCATTTTCTAGAGTGACACATGCAGAGAATTGAACACAGATGACTTATCCACCCATAATGTTGGAAAACAGGGCTAGAAAGGAGTGCTTTCTTCCTTTTAAAAAAAAGTGTTAAGTACGGGAGGAGCTGGAGGAACACAGCAGGTCAGTCAGCACCAGAGGAGTAGGAAAATTGACATTTTGGGTCAGGACCCTTCTCCTCTGATGCTGCCTGACCTGCTGTGTTCCTCCAGCTCCACACTGCTAACTCTGACTCCAGCATTTGCAGATCTTGGTAACTTCTGTTAAGTACGGGAGAATAAAATTAGAATTTTTGTAGAAAATACCCATTGGATGAAGACGTGAAATTGTACAAATTGATCAAATACTACTTAATTGTACTTCTAACAGGAAAATGGATCTAAAAACAAACTGTCACATCAGCATTTTTAAGAACAGTAAAAATCTTTAAAGCTGATTTCATGAAAAGAGAAAGTACCATTTGGTTGCTGGGCGGACAACCTGCTGGCCAAGCAGTGGTTGGAGCAACCTTTGGCTGCCAGTTTGCTCCTCCTGTCAACTTCCTTTCAGAGGCATTCCACTGAAGGTCACTCCTACAATTAAAGTAAATATTAAAACTAAGTTAAAGGTATGCCATCAGGGTAGTACCCCAGAACCAACTATACTCAACTGCTTCTTCAATGATCTTTCCTCCTCCAAAGTCAGAAGCAGGGGTGTTTGCTGCTGAATGCACAATGACTGTTCAGGATCATTTGCCATTCCCCAAATACTCAAACAATTCATGCTCAAAAAATCAATAAGACTGATAAGAGGTGTGAAACGTTCACATATACAAGTGCAAGCAATAATCATCTTCAACAAGCTGAATCATCTCTGCTCACAAGCAACTCAGAGGCTCGGGATTCTACACCTGACACTCATCTCGACTTCCCAAAGCCTGTCCACCAGTTAAGAGGTGTAATACTCTGCTTGCTTGGATGACTGCAGCTCCAATACTCAAGAAGCTCAACACCATTTAGGAAAAGCAATCTGCCTGATTTGCACCCAATCTACAATCTTAAATATTTACTTTTTCCAAACTTGCAACCTTTATCATCTGGATCAACAAGGGAAGCAGTTATATAGGAACAGCTCCATTAGCTCCCCTCCAAGCCTCACTATCCTGATTTAGGAACATAGGAAGCACGAGTGGGCTATTTGGCCCTTCCAATCTGTTCCACCATTAAAAAATCTTGGCTGATCTGGTTATGATCTCAGCACCATTTTTCTGTCTGCACCTCAAACCTTGATACTCTTGCCAATCAAAAATCTAAATTTGAGGCTGAGTGTCTAATCAATTTGACATATTGCAACCAGCACCCCTTGATGTTTAATCTCATTCCTCAATATCAAGATCCTGGGGGTTACCAATGACCAAAAATTTGACTAGATTACCCATATAAATAATATAGCTACAACATGTCAGAGACAAGGAATCTTCTCACAAAGCCTGTTCACTATTCACAAGGCACAAGTCAGGACTGAGTGGATGGAATACTCCCCATTGCCTGAATGAGTGCAGCTGCATAAACACTCAAGAGATCTGACACCAATCAGAAGAAAGCAGGCTACTCGACTGACCTCACATTATGCTAGGTAGCTCCTTCTCTAACATTATGGGTTTACCTACATTAGGCAAACTGTGCAGTTCAAGGAGGCTCACCACCACCACCACCACCACCTTCTCAAGTGCAAGTAGGGATGAGCACTAAATGCTGGCCCAGCCAGTGAACCCCAAATCACATGCCAGTTCCAATCCCTTTGGCACTCAACTGGCTACAGCTTACCAACTTGATAAAGGCCCATTTATTCCAACGCTCTTCTTCCTACCAGTTAAAGCAACTGTCTCCAAGCTAATACGTTAATCCTACACCATGTCTTCTTAACCGTGTGGCTTTGATGTGGTGCCTTATCAAAGGCCTTTTGGTATTGAAGTCCAATGCATCTAAAATTGGTTCCTCTCTAGCCGCCATAAATGCCACTTTAAAAGAACAGATTAGTTAAAACTATTTTCCTTTTTCAAAGCTCCACCTTATGAAGTTGTCATTTTCAAAGTACAACCTTCTTTATAATTGATTTTAATATTTTCTTATGACAGATGTTATGCTAATTGGCTAAAACTATTCTGCCTTTCTCCTTTCTTCAATAAAAAGGTGTTATATTTACAACTTGGAACAATTTTAACAATAGTATGTGTCAAAATCCTGCAACTCCCTTCCTCACAGCACTGTGGGTGTACCTAAACGAAACAGGATACAGTAGTTCAAAGCAGCGGCTCAACACACCCTCTCTAGGATTAGAGATGGGCAACAAATGCTGGCCGTACAAGTGCCACCCGCGTATGGTGACAGAAGAATGACTTTTCAGAGCTGTGTTAATTATTCACATTATTTATTTTTAATTATTTATTTTTATCTTTGAATTTATTGTCTCAAATGCTATTGTTTCATGTTTACCAAATGGAGCTTAGTGATGAAATGCATACTGACCATCGGTTACACGACAGAACCCAATTCATTTCATTTTGGTCGCATTTTACTCCAACTTGTGTTAGAGATACATAAGCATATTTTGATATTTTGTTTGACAGACTTAAAATGGATTTAATTTTCAATGAGGCAAAATCATCCAGTCCCCAAAAGACAAAAATATCCTTAGATTAGTTGCAGATAAACAGCTAAGCTACTCAAACAAAATCTGACAAAATAGTTTCTCAGTATCTCCAACAAACACCAATCCTAAACTGGAACAAGTGATTTTTCTGAAATGTTAGAAGTGAAAATGAAAAGAAATAGATTAATCAGGTAAGGAAAGATTTCAGTTAGTAAACAGCTCATTAGGGATGGCATTGTATCATTTCAGCAAAAAAAAACATACTTCACCGTGATTCCCCAAAGGTGCGTTTCTTCAAGAACTGACAATTCTCTAGGGTCAGAAGCAAGTAGATATCTGGCTACTCATTTATGCATATTTCTTGAACAGAATGGAGTTTCACGTTTGTGAATTGACAAAGTGACTGAAGACATTATCCTCTAGTTGCTCCCTCCCACCAGAACAAGTGCCAAACAGGAGATAGCTTAGTTTGTGCACAACAATATTAACTAGACAGAGGCTAGTTAATACCCAACAATCTCTCCTGTTCTACATTCGAGTGTTACATCTCCATGACTCCTTGAATGTACTATGTCAGGTTTAATATATCCACTGATGACATATGGCTGTGTGTCTTCATCACCTCTTACTACTGTAAGGAGGCTATACACTTGTAATTGAGTATTTTTTCAATGCCTCCAACCACTTCAATCTGTTGCAAATTGAATTGAGACAAGGTAAACTGATTAAAAAGCAATAACAGAGGTGGGGAAAAAGGAAACAGTCCTACAATTCTGTGATAGTGTAAACTTCCAAACTTTAACTGTTCACAGATTGAAAAAAGCAGCAATAACTCTGTTCGGAATAAACTATTAAAGGATAAGGACAAACTGTTATACAAGAATGTCTGGGAAAACGAGGAGTTGAGACTACATGAACAAAGCTGTTTTGACACCTGGCTGCCTAATGCCACAAGGACAATGATTGCCCTGCAGAAGAATTTAAAAGAATTAATCACAGGAAAGCTGTGTGCCTTCAAACAGACAGTTAAGGCCAAATATAAGAACAAACAAAGAAGCTACTTCTGATAAGTAAGCAAGCTGCAGACTTGCAATATTGTGGATGAAAGAATCTAAAAGATCATCAATAATGTCACACCACAAATTCGGAAAAGAGAAAATTATCTAAGAATTTAACTTCAGGATGCCTTTGGGCAAAGCTATGAAGACCAACACTGCACAAGGATTAAACACTAGACAAAGACACTGTCGGTTGGAGTCTTAGCTAAGTTCCACCATTAATCAGGTAACAGCCAAGTTGAGTTGAGGTTTAACTTGCTTACTTGAGGGGTCTGATTTTGGTTGCTATTTGCAGTGAAGTTTAAACAATTGTTTCTGTACTGAGATTTCTTAATAAACAGCCGAATTAAAGGGAGTCTATGGTGATTTACCCACAACAATCCACGCCACCATCAAAACCTATTATGATTTGAGGAAGACATTAGCAGTTGCAATGTACAGGGTAATGACACCACGGCTGCCACTATCAGAAAATAACCTCTTGGAAATACTGACAGGAAGCAATATTTCAAAATGTAATGATTGTTATGGAGGCCAGCCAGATGGACCTCATAGAATAAGAGTTCCCTGATTGGACCAGGTTAACAGTCCCAATCAGGGAGGCCTGGCTGACAGATATAAACAGGAGTGTCTTGCCCTTATCAGGCTTTGCTTGCTACTGGTTCACTGCCATGTGGGTATTCTCCTGGTATGGAAATATTGAACAAAATTATTTGCACAATGGTATCTTTACTGAGTCACTGCACTTAGACACACATACAAAAAAGTAAACAGGAGTGTTAGAGGTTCTGTTCGCTCTGACACCTGCTCTAAGGAAGCCAGACCAGTGTTGAGTACTGTGCACGTGTGAATAAAGGTGGCTTGGTGACGGGATACTAGCCTATGTGGAGTTATTTGACAAGGGAGATTCAGAGAGCTTTGAGAGGACACTTAAGGGAAGCTGCTGTCTCTATTCTCTCTCATGGAATGGTCCATGAACAAATCCTACAAAAACAGAAAAGCAGCATCAGGGAGTTAAGCTTGAAACAAATGCAATCTTTTGACTGTACTTAAAATAAAGTGAATCCATCCCGGTCGACTTTAAATCTTAAGGTTCAAAGGCTATCTAAGGAGTCTAAACTGTATATTCTTTTTATCTTCCTTTAAACTGGAAACACTGTCTTTTCAATGTTATATCTGCGAGAGAAGGCCTCCAAATGACAGACAAAAAAAAACTGTGTACTTGACAGTGACACGATTAATCTCTTCAGGGTGAGGGGATGATAAAGTTGCCCTTCCACTGAACACTGACTGCTTTATGATTTGCTCATTATTGCTACAGTAAGAAATAGCTAGCTATATTTTAACTGGGCAGAGAGGTACAGCCTTGCACTAAATAAAGGAGTTAAATATACACTGTGGCACCAAGGAAGTTGAAAAGCAGGAGCTGGTTCACCCCCTGTCACTAAGGCACAACATCTTCCATCACATCTGCGTTGTTAGCCTGGTCATCAGATATCCAGTTCTGAATAAGCTATAAAAGAAACAAAGCCATCATCTTGGTACCCTCCTCATGCAACTGATTCATCCTCCTCTTCATTCACCGTCAGGCAGAACCAGACAATCCACAATATCCTAGGCTGTAAAATCTTGAGTTGAATTTCTAATTCATATCCTATATCTACAAACGAACACTTAATTTCACTTCCATAAACATCTCCAGTCTCAATCTGTCGCAGTTGCTTTTACACAGGAGAGCTCATGCATATTTTAGACTACTCTAATGTTATTCTGGCCTGACTTCCATTCAAACTCTAAACTTGAACTCATCCATCGTTCTGTTGCTCATATCCTAACTTTCACTCACCAATTTTATTCTCCCTGACTTACATTACTTTCCTTGGCATACTTGTGCAAATATACACACAAAAGAACTATGAAAAAGAAATATTTCAGAGAACCACAAAGTAGATAAACTGTATTAAGTTAATGTAAATTAACCTATGCTAAATACGACACAACTTACTTCTTTCCTGGAGCAGGAGAAATACCCAAGTCTACAAACAGAAACAGAGAAAAGTAAGATTAATCAGACATTAAACTAATAATAATGCCACATAACAATGACCAAAATCAACAACTGGGACGCTTTCGACAGAGTATTCATAATTATACTGCATGTAATAAATTAAATCAAAATGGAACTAGAAAACCAGGGTCCTAACGTTGCCTTAGAAGTACATTGCCATGCAGCAGCCACCCATGCAGTTGACGCATATGTGCATGCATGTTACATGTGGAGCTGTGAAAAAATTTTAGATGGCTGCAGCACCTCAACTGATGGATTGCAAGCTCTGCAATCCAACTGCACCTTTAGAGCAACTACACTATTACCACATGAGGAAGTCCAAAGACCACATGGCGAGACTGTTACACAATAGATTCCCAGTACAAGCACCATAAAATACTAGAGCACAGGAGGCCATTGGGCCCAAAATTGTTCCTCTGAAGAGCACTGCAGTCAGTCATATGCCTCAATTCTTTCCTCATATCCCTGCAGTTGTTTTCCTTTCAAGTATTTATACAATTTGGTTTTGAAAGCTACTTGGAGTCCATCAGAACTTTTCAATGAAGGAGATCTTTTGGCCCATCATATTTTATTTGTTGGCAATCAAGCAACTATCTACTCATTTTCCAGCAATTGACCAGCAACCTTGTATGTGATGCTATTTCAAGCGTTTATCTAATTGCCACTTAATTTCTGGAACTCAATGCCTGAAAGAGGTGAGAACCCTCAACATTTGTTTTTCCTTAAATCCCCTCTGAGCCTTTGACCAGGGCTCTGTCACTTCTTTTCAATTCCTCTCTGGCCTCAGTGGGGTGCCAGAAGTTGAAAGACAGCTAATGTAGTACCATTGTTTAAGAAGGATGGGAGAGTTAAACCAGCAAACTACAGGCCAATGGCAGGCAAACTATCAGGAAAAAGTTCTAGGAGGACAAGCTTAAGTTACATTTGGAGGGGCAAGGATTAAATCAAGGAGAGCCAGCATGGCTTTGTTAGGGCAAGATAACATCTAACACATTGGATTGAGGCGAGATTTTTGAGGTGGTCACTAAGTACGTAGTTGAGGTTATTGCAACTCATGTAGTCTGCGTGGACTTCAGCAAGGCCTTTGACAAGTTCATGCATGGTAGACTGTTCAAGAAGCTAACAGCCCATGGGACCCAGAGCAACTTTGCAAACTGAATCCAAAGTTGGTTTAGTGGCAGGAGCTTGTGGATGATGGATTAGGGTTGAAGTTTGTTTTGTCTGGAAGCTTGTGTTCGGTGGCACACCACAGGGTTTGAGCTGGATCCATTTTTTTGGGTGGTGTGCATTAAATGATTTAGATACAAATAGAAGAGTATTATCGGTATTCTTACAAAGCACAAAAATTTGTGGTGTGATTAATAGCAAGGAGGAAAGCCTTTTACTACAGGACAAGATGGGGAGAACAGTAATAAATTTAATCTTGAAAAGTGCAAAGTGATGCATTTTGGCAGGATAAGCAAGGCAAGGGAATATATGAAGAATGGTAGGACCATGGGAAGTACTCAGGTTCAGAGGGATCATTGTGTGCATGTCCACAGATTCCGGAGGGCAACAGATCAGGTTGATAATTGGCTAAACCCAGCATATGGAATACTTGCCTTTACTAGTCAAGGCATTGAATACATGAGAAGGGAGGTCATGATGCAGCTGTGTAAGATGCTAGATCACAGCTGAAGTACTATGCACAGTTCTGGTTGCTGTGCTACAGGATGAATGCCATTGCATGAGAGAAGGATGTTGGCTGGTTTGAAGTGCTTCAGCTAAGAACAGAGACTAAATTGGCTGGAGATGTTTTCCCTGAAGTGGAGAAGGTTGAAAGGGAACCTAACTGTTTTGGCAGGTCCTGTCCAAGAAGATCCGGTGAATTTCTGCAATGCATCTTTTTAGAAGATATACACTTCTCCATTGTATCAGCGGTAGAAGTGTCAATGTTTCTGGAAGAGGTGCCAATCAAGTGGGATAACAAGGTGTAGAGTTGGATGAACACAGCAGGCCAAGCAGCAGAGGAGCAGGAAGTCTGACCTTTCGGGCCTAGACCCTTCTTCAGAAAAACGGTCTAGGCCCGAAACATCAGCCTTCCTGCTCCTCTGATGCTGCTTGGCCTGCTGTGTTCATCCAGCTCTTCACCTTGTTATCTCAGACCGTCCAGCATCTGCAGTTCCTACTATCTCTGCCAATCAAGTGGGCTGTTTTGTCCAGAATGGTGTTCAGCTTCATGAATGTTGAAGCTGCACTCATCCAGACAAGAGGGGAGTATTCCACCACACTCTTGACTTGTCAAAGTTGGACAGGTTATGGGGAGTCAGGTGGGGAGTTATTCACGACAGGATTCCTAGACTCTGATCTGCTCTTGTAGCCACAGTATTTTGTGAAGATTTTTTATTTTCTCTATTTTTGGACTGTTGATTCAAAGCAATATTTTTCCAGTTTTGATCCTGAGTTCAGTGGAAAGAGAATGGCAATAGCTTTAAAAGTGACATTTACTGGAGCTGTTAATGATATTCCTATATGGGGACTTCAAAGCCTCAGAAATTGTCTCTTCAACGGCACCATTCAGGGTGAACCAGCCCAACAGTATTAGTAGGATGGCTTATCTATGGACCAATTGGAATGGGTGAGACAGAACTCCATAGAATCACCATCATAGATCACCATAGAATCCCTACAGTGTGGAAACAGGCCCTTCGGCCCAACAAGTCCACACCGACCCTTGGAACATCCCACCCAGACCCATCCCCCTATAACCCACACACCCGTGAACACTACAGGCAATTTAGCATGGCCAATCCACCTAGCCTGCACATCTTTGGACTGTGGGAGGAAACCGGAACACCAGGAGGAAACCCACACAGATAAGGGGAGAATGTGCAAACTCTGCACAGACAGTCGCCCGAGGCTGGAATCGAACCCGGGTCGCTGGCGCTGTGAGGCTGCAGTGCTAACCACTAACCACCAACCACCGTGCCACCCCAAATGTAGCCCTCTTTCCTGCAAGGAAGAATTTATTCTATTAATTCTATGCAAAAGTTAGCCTGGTGGTTATGACGATACAGTTCACACGCTGGTAGATATCCTTGACTACTATTTTCTTGATTGCACTGTACTTTTCTGGGTAAGACTAACCAGCAGATTTACAGTGGGCTGGTATTGCTTTGAAGCTCCAACTGCAGTGTTGAGTGCGGTGCTGATCTATGTTGGGACTACTGCTGCTCAGAGGGCCACACGCAAGGAATTTATAAATAAAACAGTCATGCACTTTGGTCAGAAAAACACTAAAGGCATTACAAAGTAGCGAGTACAATTCCGATGATCGTACAGGAGCAGAGGGACCCGGGTGTAAAAACTCAGCTACGTCATTTAGATTGGCCCCTGATCAAGGAAAAGGCAGAGAAGTGGAGTTGTGGGTCATCAGATCAGCCACTCTCTCATTTGAATGGCAGAGCATTCAATAGCCATTTCTGCTCCTATATAATGGTCTTATGATCAGGAGACCAGTTGTGTATGAAGGGCAGCACAGAGAACCTAATCTCTGAAGGAAAAGCAACAAGATATCTTTTTCTCTCTCTCCCTTGTGTGAAAGGGATCAGTAAATCAAGCACTTGCAAGTTGTTCTCACCCTTATCCTCTAAACTTTTTTCCATACCCCTGCTGAATGGAAAAAGGAGAAAGCCTTCCAGGATATTCAAACGATCAATTCTCAATTAGTAATCCAAAGAATGGACTTTGGTGCAGATAACCTTGTGTCATTAACAAAGAAGGTGCCAGAAGACTGGAGACTAATGTGGTGCCTTTATTTAAGAAAGATAGTAAGGAAAAGCCAGGGAACTATAGACCAGTGATCTGACGTCAGTAAAGTTGTTGGACTGCATTCTGAGGGACAGGATTTACATGCACTTGGAAAGGCAAGGACTGATTCGGGATAGTTAACATGGCTTTGTGCATGGCAAAGAGTGTCTCACTAATTTGATTGAGTTTTTCGAAGAAGTGACGAAGGTGGTTAAGGAAGACAGAGCAAGATGTTGTCGATATGGACTTCAGCAAGGTGTCTCTCAAGGTTCCACATGATAGATGGTTAGCAGATGAGATTACATGGCATCCAGCAAGAGCTAGCCGTTTGGATACAAAATTGGCTTTAAAGGTAGGAGACAGAGGGTGATGGCAGAGAGTTGTTTTTCAGACTGGAGGCACGTGATAGAGGTGTGCTGCAAGGATTGGTGCTGGGTCCAATGCTTTTTGCTATTTATATAAAGGATTTGTATGCGAATATAGGAGGGATGGTTAATAAGTTTGCAGATGACACCAAAACTGGTAGTCTGCTGCACAGTGAAGGTTGCCTCAGAGTACAATGGACCTTGATCAGATGGGCTGAGGAGTGGCAGATGGAGTTTAATTTAGATAAATGAGAGGTGCTGCATTTTGGAAAGGCAAATCAGGGCAGGACTTGTACAATTAATGGTAAGGTTCTGCAGAGTGTTACTGAACAAAGAGACCTTGGAGTGCAGTTCATAGTCCCTTGAAAGTGGAGTCAGAAATAAATAGGATAGTGAAGATGATGTTTGGTATGCATGCCTTTATTGGTCAGTGCATTGAGTATAGGAGTTGGCAGGTCATGTTGAGGATGTACAGGACATTGGTTAGACCACTTTTGGAATACTGCGCTCAATTCTGATGTTCCTGCTATGGGAAGGATGTTATGAAACCAGAAAGGGTTCAGGTAATGAGTTACAAGGATGTTGCCAGGGTTGGAGGGTTTCGGCTATATGGAGAGGCTGAATAGGCTGGGTTATTTTCCCTGGAGCGTCGGAGGCTGAGGGGTGACCTTCTAGAGGTTTATAGAATGAGGGGCATGGATAGGATAAATAGACGAGGTCTTATCCCCGGGGTGGGGCAATTAAAAACTAGATGGCATAGTTTAAAGACAAAAGGGTAAAAATTTAGAAGGGACCTCAGGGGCAACTTTTTCCACACAGAGGATGGTGGGGTGTATGGAATAAGCTGCCAAAGGAATGGAGGAGGCTGATACAACTACAAACTACAACTACAAGTAACAGGCATCTGGACAGGTATACAAATAGGACTCATTGAGGGATATAGGCCAAATGCTGGCAAATGGGACGAGATTAATTTAGGATATCTGGTTGGCATGGAGGAGCTGGACCGAATGGTCTATTTCCATGCTATACATCTGTAGGACTCTAGTCAAACAACAACCTAACAATCTGTGAGACAGCATTTCCAATTTTTGCACAAATCCCCAGATATTACTGAATGGGACTTTGCAGTGTTGACAGGGCGGAGATGTTTCTGGTGCCTTAGTCAGTGCTAGGTAGTCAGTCCAGTTTTATTTATTTGGGACTTGTGTTTGATAAAACTGAATAGCTTGCGAGGCTACTTCAAAGGGCAGTGTCATGGGTCTGGAGTTGCATATATGTTGGATCAAAAGAGGAGAACAATTTTCTTTCCCTGAAGGACATCAGTGAACTTGATATATTTTCCCTCAGAACGGACAACGGCTGGAGCGCATCTCTGGAGAGAAATCAGAGTTAACCCAGAACCTATTCTGAGAAAGGGTCACTGGACCAGAAATGTTAACTCTCATTTCTCTCCATAGATGCTGCCAGACCTGCTTAGTTTTTCTAGCAAAGTCTGCTTTTGTTTCTGATGTTCAGAATCCGCAGTTCTTTCAGTTTTTATTTAGCCTTAGACTCTGACCCCTGGTGTTGGGCAACCCCCTACCATCAGGAACATTCTTCCTCTATCTAATGTGACTCATCCCGGAACAATTTTATAGGTTTTTATCAGACCCTTCCACAGCTTTCATTCTTCTGAACTCCACTGAATACAATCTTTCCTCACATGCCAGTCCTGTGATCCCAGGAATGAATCTGGTAAATCTTCGCTGCATGCCCTCTATAGCAAGAACATTCTCTCTCAGATAAGGCGGCCAGAACTGTATACAATATTCCAGGCATGGCTTCATCAATACCCTGTATAATTGCAGTAAGATATCCCTGTACTCAAATCCTCTTGCTATGAATGCTAACATACAGTTGGCCTTCTTTACTGCCTGCTACATCTGACTGCTTAGAGTGACTGGTGCACAAGTGCACCCAGGTCTTGTTGACCATTCCCCCCTCTCATTTTATAGCCACATAATAATCTGCCTTCCCATTTTTTCTACCAAAATGAAAAACTTCATTTTTACCTACATTATACGGCATTTGCCATGCATATTATCCACTCATTCAGCTTGTCCAAATCACACTACAACCTGAAAATTAGGTCCAAAAACACCACCTTCTCTTGCAGGACTTTCTACATGCTGACTTAAAAAGACCTCGTTCGTACGTTTTAAGAGATCTATCTTCTCCAAGCCTTTCAGCTTCGATAGGCCTCAGATAAACGCTGCCAAACCCAGTTAATGCTGGGAAAGTTGAAATCCCCTATTACTTTTACAAATTTGAAATTTTCCTACATAGCTGTCCTCTATCTTTCCATGACGATTTGGCCATCTGTAATACACTCCCAGCAATGGGAACGTTCCCTTTTCTGTTTTTTTATAAAAAACTTCTAACCATATGGCTTTATTTGAAACAAACACAGAATGGAGACAAAGTCAGGTGTGGCGACATTTGTGTTTCAAGTCCCATATGACTTCTTCAGAACTGGCTTCATTTGAGGTCTATTCAAAATATTCTGGAGCTGTAGTCGAAGCAGAGCAGTTAAAGCAGCAAACTTGAAACAGATTGGTGTTTCCCACTGACCATTCAAATCCTATTGACTGTACAATGGGCGGAGATTAAGCTCCACTTATCACATACGTCATAACCTGTCTGAATAGGTTGATTTAAAAAAAAACATACATCAATTTCCATTTTTACTGTCAAGATTGACTCTGCTTTAAGCAACCTTTTACATTCCGTAACATTAGAACTTGCAGTGTAAAAATGTTTCATTAAAATCATTAACTCCTTTCCATCCCAGTTTGGTCCTTTTGCCAATTACCTTAAACCTGCATCCTCTAGTTATCAATCCTCCTGATGATAGAAATTCTTCCTCCCCATTTACACAATCAAAAACCCTTCACGTAAATGTGAACACCTATTTCTCCTTAATCTTCTGAAGAAGGGTCCCAACCCGAAACGTCAACTTTCCTGTTCCTCTGATGCTGCCTGCCCTGCTGTGTTCCTCCAGCTCCACACTGTTATCTCTGACTCCAGCATCGGCAGTTCTTGCTATCTCCAACATGTAGATTAAAATCCCCCCATTAATTGCTGTACCATTTTTACAGACAATAGTTATTTCTTTGTTTTTGCCCACCCCAACGTGACGTTATTATTTGGTGGCCTATAGACTACACCTATCAGTGACTTTTTCCATCTTAGAATTGCTCATTTCCACCCAAATGGATTCAACCTTATTCTCCATAGAACCTATGTCATCTCTCATGACTGACCTGACATCATCCTTAAATATCAGAGCTACACCACCCCCCCTTACCTTCCTGTCTGACATTAGTGAGCTAGATGGCTGCTTACAACAAATTACAATATTGTTTAATGGTCACCATTATTGAAACTAGTTTTATATTGCAGATTTATTAACTGAATTTAAATTCAACATGCTGCGCTGATGGAACGTAAGCCCCTGTCCCCAGAATGAACGCCTGGGCTTCTGGATTACTAGGCAGAGGGCATTAATACTACACTACCATCCCCTCATGAAATTATTTCAAAGCGCAGGGACGGTATCCCTGGTATTCTGGTCAATATTTACCTTCAATAAACATGCCAAAACAGACAACATGGTTATCATTGCATCACTGTCAAACTGCCTCTTTGTGGGAGTTTGCTCAGCGCAAAGTAGCTGCAGTGCTCTCTATATCATGACAGTGATTTCAATAAATGACTGAATGGCTATGAAGTACTTTAAGACATCCAGTGATTGTGAAAAGTGCAATCTTTCTTCAACCTGACGGGCTTCAATTCAGCTGCTCTTTATTAAAAACTTAATGAAGGTGCAGATATACAACATGCTGTATTGCCATTCTCCCACAGCTCACAAAATTAAGTAAATTCATATCAAACCTTAGCTGTCGCCAACCCTATCCAAATTCCTTGCAATTATTGCTTATTGATAACTTCTCTCAATTTATTATCATGCAAAAACTTAAGACTTGTACAGTAATTGGAAAACTGGTTATTTTCAATATGCGAATATTCAATTGTACTTTATCCATGCTTGGTTGTTTTAAATAGCCCTATAACCGCTGAATTTAATCAAAATAATATTTTTATAATAATCTAGCTTGTAAAATTAATAAGCACATTGTCTTAATTTCAGGTTCTAATCACTATTAGCTATATATTACTATGTTAATACTTCTCCATGATTACAAAGTATAAACTATATAATTCAACTTGTCTTCATAAACTAGTGAATGGTAAACAGAAATATTACAGAGAACATCAAAAAAAAAAAAACTTGTCAACTTACTTCCTACAAGATTTGCAAGTGAAGAATCAAGATCACTCCCTAGGCTTTTGACTGGCTGTGTTCCTGCTGGTGCTGGTATTCCCGAAAGTACAGCTTGATTTTGTGACGCCATTGTGGGCATAAGGAGGTCACCTAAGCCATCAAAAACTTTGACAGCCAAAAAAAGAGAGGATTAATACACAGGAGTGGGGAACTCAATAAACAGTTTCTATTTTTTTTTTAGCTCTACCATTTTCATACGAACAATCCCATACATTTATATGAGCCACGTTAAGGTTCCACAGCAAACTAATCACAAAGAATAAATACATGTACATTAAATCAATCTCTTTTGGAAAAAGCTGTGTAAACTGTATGAGTTACAAGAAAAGATGGATACACTGATCAAAACATCACTTTCTCGGCCTTTGGGCAGAGTTAAAAGTATTATGCATACCCAGACTACTTTAAAAGTAGAGGTGGAGTACATTTGGTGATCACAGCAGTATCACAAAGAGTCAATCTGGCATAGCTTTGCAATTATGTTAATTTGAATTTAGAAAAGCACATTAGAAAAGTTTGCCATTTGTTAGTCAGTTAAAAGAAAATGTGTACAACACACTAAAAATGCTATAAGCTTACAGTATATCATAGTCAAAATTAAGCCAAGGCACAAGTAAGGAAAAAAAACTCACCAATAATGAAATCACATCAAATAAGGTGCCAACGTTGATGGCATGAAATAGAAGAGAAAATACCATAGCACCATTAGGAATTGAAAGCTTTGGCTCAATATTGAACAGCAGTAGCTGTTCCATTTCAGGTTTACTTTTAATTCAGCAGGAGCACAGGTCATGCAGAACTTGAGAGCCAAGCAACAATGCAGCCTGGCAAAATGTTGCATAATAATGCTTAAAGTGAAAAGGCTTTCACTGCACAGCTGCATACATTACAAATAGAATTTGCAAGAATTCACCCAAGCGTTCACACGGTTTTGCAACACAAATCAGCCACAAAATTAGGGAGTCTCAACTGGTATTAACCAACTAAACTAATTTCATCTTTGAATACCAAAATAATGCTAATGAAAGCATGCACTGGAATAAGCCAAACATTCCTGTTTGAGGTAAAAATTTGTCAAACAATTAAACTGAAAACATTTAATAATTCATTTAATAATATCAAAACTGAAGAAACAATGCGCACTAACCATTGTTTCATACTTCCTGACAAAACATGAATAATAATGGTAAGCAGAGAACTAAAATAAAAGTAACTATAATTTAGAATGCAAGTGCGTTTTTTTAAAAAGATGTGCAGTAGAATATTTCCTTATGAATGTTCAAATTATAACCATTGGTGATAACTGCTAGCTGAATGAAGCACTGCCCTTTTTGACAACTTAGAAATCGTTACAAATAGCTGAAGAGTTGTTGCTTTCGAAGTGATTCTAAAATAGACATTCATTTAAGTTCTAAAACTGATAAGTTGATTTTTGATTTATTGAAATTACTGGTAAAAGTGGTAATTTTCAGAAGATTTCTTTCTCGGACTTCAAATAAAGAATCTTCTTTCCCTTACCTGATGAATCAAAGGTGTTACTTGTGGCTGATATACCAAATGCTGTTTCAAAGTCAGGCTGCAAAACATTATTCTGTGCCGGTGGCATCGGTGTAGCTGTCGGTGTCATAAATGTATTTCCAAAACCTTAGAGAAAACAGATTTTTTTTTTTTTTAAAAAAATGCAGTGTAGGTATTTTCTTTTCATTACTGATCCTATTGGAGTGTTTATGCCTCCTCTAGAAAGCATTCATTGAACCATAATGTATAAAGGATTGAATCCTTTGGCCCATTGAGCCTGTACTGACAAAGTTACTCTAAATCTAAACTAGTTCCACTTTCCACCACTTGACCCATAGCCTTGAACGTTATGACATTGTAAATGCTCATCCAAAGGTACTGAAGCTTCCTGCCTCACATGCCCACTCGGCAATGCATTTTAGATTCCCACCACCCTCTGGGTGAAAAGAAAGAGTTTCCTCAAATTCCTTCTAAACTTCCTGCCTTTCATGAAATTATGTCCCCATGTCACTGTTAGTTGCACTCTAGTTGCACAGAAGCATATCTTTTATATATACTGTCTCAGCTATTTCAGGAAGTGGTTCAAACCAGACTGTTAGTCCCAAAGAACTATCCAAGCTGAAACACCTCCACTCACTAAGAGAGATTCTTTTCACTCTCCTCGGCCATAAAAGAAACTTAACTGACTACCCTTTAAAATTAAACTGTCCTAAATGACTGAACAATATTTTTGTGAACAGTTGAAAATGCAACCTTAATTAGTTCTATTTTAGGGAGGCAAGACTATGTTGCGCTGGATTCTCATTTACATTAACAAAGCAGTAAGTTATCACAATACAAAATCTAATATTTGAATGGCATACCTTTTTGTACATTCTACACTTTGTACTTTAGATTCCCTTTTAGGCACATTTTGAATGAGCAGCTGACACATGAAGGTTTAGCTTCCAAATGCATGCTTAGGAAACAAGGCCAGTTTGACTGCAGTCAAGATCACACTAATACAACATGATGACCAGCTGCTTCAGATTTTCCGAGATAGTCTTATACTTCAATGTTTTGTCCGGTGTCCCCAATTACACCTTCCCAGGTCACATTTTGCCTGGATTTTCTTCTCTTGCTGAAGTCTTTGTCTGCAGGTATGTCATCAGTCGTGGCAAGTAGCTGATCTCTGATTTTGGTGTGCAGCAAATGGTCAGGGGATGAGGGGTGACGTGCATATCAGAAGTGGCAACAAGAGCTTTTTAGGGTAGTATTGTGTATGTTCCCCTCTTTCCCCTCAGTGATCATTAATAAATATGTTCAGAGATCCATTGTACTTTGGCAATGTCAGGAGGACACAAGGCCTTGATTCAGTGGCTAAAAATGGAAGTGAAGAGACTCAGTGTGCAGATTTGAATGCAACATTGGGAGAGATGAGAGGAAGAGTTGAAACCTTTTATAGTTGTTAGTGGGAAGGATTACTTGAACCAGGATACTGACCGCATTCATGAGTACAAATTTTGTTGCTTAATAAGTTGTCCTAATTTCACTACATTAAGAGTCACCTCTGAAATTTAATGTGTAGACTCACTCCCTTAAGAAAACTGCACTGTTACAAACAAGCTTCAATCTGGAACAACAGACATACATAAATAAATGCAGTGATACTCCAAAAGGTAAAGAACCATCTTTTGAGCATTTGGTCTTCTCCCCTCCCCTTCCATAATTAACAAAGGTCAGTTACCAGCTAGTAAGTCCGAAGAAGCAGACGAACTGGAAACAGCCTGAGTGGCAGGCTGAGACTCAGTAGCAGAACTACCAAAAGCGTCTAGTATTGTGATCCAAGAAATGCAGCACAAAAAGGAAGAAAAGCACCTAACTTAGACTAAATGGTCTTCACAAACATCAGCAAAATAAAATCACGATGCATTTCATGAGATGAGGAATCAAACTTTAACACAAAGGAAAGGCTCAAATTTAAGTTCAAGGTGCTGAACAATGGATATAATATTGTTATTTCAACCTCCATCCAGAGTTACATTAACCAATTGTACATCATGCAAATTTGACACTAACACATTTCAATTATTAGTTTAAGTGTTGAGTTATATTACGATGAAAATATCAAGTTTTTATTACTGCATGACAACATGCCTTAACGGAGCACAATCATTTTGTTACTTCAGTAGATTTTGATGAACCAACAATTGCATATGAAAAAAAATTCGACATTTTTTACTTTAAAAATACATTCTTTTTAGTCATTAGTTATTTTGAACAGCATTAAATTCCTTCACTATATTCCACTATTCTGATACTTCGGTTTAAAACAGCTTATCGATGGCCATACTGACAAATGTTTAACGTGGAAAGAAATCTGTAGAGGTATACCCACCACCAAATAGATCAATTACAGCTGAAGATTCTGATTTAGCAGGAGAGGCACTGATTGTAGGTGGTGGTGCTACAAATGCATCAACTGTAGCAGGCAGCAATATAAAGGAAAATATGTAAATAATAAAGATGACAAAAGATTTCTCTCAATCAAAACAATAATTACGGCCAAGCCCATGACCCAAAAGACCATCTGAACATATAGCAAGATTATTTTAGAAAATTAGAAGAAAGGTACAATAGTTTTCAGTACATGTCATCTCCATCTCAACTTTCCACCAGATGTGACAAATGAAGCAACTGACAATAATTCCAAAGTATACTAAACTGGGAAAAAAATCTGTCCATTGCATATTCCCAAACTTAAGTCTGATAGCATAGATGCAGCTGAGAGATCGAGAAACCCAGTCCACAAAACTAGGCAATGCATGTCTACTGCCAATTGTAATTCCTATTTGCTAGAATATTTTGATCGCATCTTGTGGGCCTTGAAATGTGAAGTGGGATAGGGGCAGGTGTTGTTTCATTTATATGTACATCCTAAATCAAAATACCCAGATTGGCTAGTCAATGTATGTTGATAAATTCAAGGGAAAATTAATTAAAATTCTGAGATCCTCATGAGGCTCCGTGTAGACAAAATTTGAATTGGCCTCTACTCAAATTCAGAATGCAGATTTTTTTTTTTTTTTTTTTTTTTTTTTTAAACTGGTAGTGAAATTTCAGAGACAGTCAAGAGTGAAAAAAAATTACACCCCACCCCGACCTGAACAACAATTTTTATCTGTAAAGTTCAAGACACTAAAATACAAAGTTTCGTAATGTTTAAAAAGCTGCAAAGAATTCCCCAGCTCTATTCACAGAGCCCTGCAGCTTTATTTGTTAAAGTGGCCATCAGCATCTGAAAAAAGAAAAGACAGGTTGACATTTGACAAACAATTCCAGCATTTTAATATTTCAGTATCACAGAGCTTCATTTTCGATTTTCTCTTACACTCCCCAATTTACCTCATTAAAAACTACTATATTTCTAACACTCACTCATTTTGACAAAGTTGTCTAGTGGTTCATTCATTGCCACTTTTCTTCGGGGAAGGTTGACCTTCAAGAAATTCTGCTCTTCTCTCAATTTGTTTCTTTTATGTTGCTCATCTTTGATCTTTTCTATTTTCCTTTTCATGCCTGAGCACATATCTATTAAATCTTACTGTCACAGCCACATTTCATTCCTTAGTGACTGCCTCTATTGGTATTTCACCCCGTTCCAAATGAAATTTTACTCTCAAGTTTTAGATATATTGACAATTACAGATATCTCAACAGTCAACTCTCTTTGGATCATTACCCTTACCACATTTAGAGATCTTGGTGCCACATGGTATCACAAAAAACAACACTGAACACTCTTCAACAATAATGACTTATTGTACCTGTGTCCTGCTTTACAGACTGACTATTCATCGGATGCAAAATTTTAATACAACAACCTTCTTTTCAGGTGTTAAGGATCCATTTTTTTTTTAAATTTACTTGTCAAATACCATTCCCTGCAGCTTTTCAATGTTTTCTTCATTGATGATTCCGGTCCTCTGTCCTGCCATACAGCACCCCTTGGGTTTTCCCTCATCTTCTTCCATTTTACCTCCTTAAAGAGTCACATTTCTAACCCTTGCATGCTCAGGTGAAAGGACATGACCCGAAACATTTTACAGATTTTCTCTTCACAGATCCTGTCAGATGTGCTTTGTTTTTATTTTAATATTTGGGTGTATACAAATATGCTGTGCACAAAGACCTTTGATCAGGACTGGAAACTAGAAGTGAGATGAGAGGCTTAAAAAAGATTTGAACAAACCAAAAATGGTTCAGGTTGGAAGGCAGAGAAATCACTGAGGAGAAACCCAAAACGAGGAATGCCTTTTGTAGTCACAGCCGAACACAATGATTTTTGAAAGCTGGAAGCAGGATAATCTAAAGGTTCTCTATTTTTGATTGAAAGAAATGCATAAAATGCAGGAAAACAACACTAGAAAGATGCACCCAGAACACAAAATTCCATTCTTCCCAAAAATACACATACAAAAGCATATTCATTTAGACCAATGTTACAAGTGTGAGAACCAGATGCAAAGTCTGAAGTACCAGAGGAGTACTAGTGAATTCCTCAATTACAATAAGTATTTTATAGAATCAGAGTTATACAACACGGAAGGAGGCTATTTGACCCATCACGTCTGTACTGGCTCCCGAAATAGCTACCTAGCTAGCCTCACTCGCTAGTCCCATTCTCCAGTCCTCTTTCTGTAGCCCTCTAATGTTAATCACTTCCAAATATATATCCTCCTATAGAATTCAACTCTCCCAGGCAGCACAGAAGAAATCCTAACAACTGAGTAAATAAGTCGTCCTAGTTTTCCAATCCTTCCATTCCCTTGCCCATTTCATCTCCAACACCTTAATGCTGACCTCTTGCGCATTCCCAATTTTAACAGTTCCATACTAGGGGGGGATCAGGTACATAATTCTTTGAAGTTTACGTCACATACAGACAAGATGGTTAAAAAAGACATTTGACGCGCTAGCCTTCACTGTTCAGTGCTTGGAGTATAGGAGTTGTTAAGGTTGTACAGGACATTGGTGAGGCTTCTTCTGGAAGCCTACGCCTAGTTCTGGTTGCCCAGTTATAGCAAGAATATTATTAAGCTGGAGAAGGCTCAGAAGAGATTTAGCAGGATGTTGTCAGGTATGGATAGTTTGAAATATAAAGAAAGGCTCGACAGGCTGGGGCTATTTTCACCGGAGTGTATGAGGTTGAGAGGCAACCTTATAGAAGTTTATAAAATAATGAGGGGTATAGATAGGGTTAACGGCATTTGTCTTTTTCCTAGGATGGGGGATTTCAAGACCGAGGGCACATTTGTAAGATAAGAGGAGACTTAAAACAGACCATGAGGGGCGATATGGATTGGTTGGACCAAAGGGTTTGTTTCCATGCTGTATGACTCTGACTTCTCAACTTACCCCAAGAGACACTCTTAAATCTACTTGTTTGGTGAAGCTTTCAACCTTCTTTTCTTTCTAAGGCACAATATGGCTCCCTATCCAATTCTGGATGCGAATGCTTAAGATGCCCAAGTGGTTTGGTTTTAAAATAAAAACACTATCTAAATCCAAGCTATTGTTGGTTGCTCTTTTATGAGATTCTATTAGTCAAGAATTACCTTTGTATCTAATTTTGAACCCTTTACTAACATAGTCTCATTAGACTCTTACCTTACAAAGTATTTCCCTTTCTACATTAGAAACTGAATTTCCAGAGACATTCCTTGATTATCATATTGTATTATGATCTCCACCGTGTTCTTCTAGTTTGTATGACTACTTCAAATTTGCCTGCCAAACTTCTCAGCTGAGATTTCCCACATCCATACCATTTTCATCATCTTGCTCTTCTCTCGTGCAGCTAGATCCACTTCCTTGTTTACATGCTACTTTTAGTTTTTCCTTTCACCAGATTATTTTCATTCAAAAATAAAATCCAAACAGCAAGTGTTACTTCCCTCCTCCAAATGGCTGTACCTGTTCACTAATTCATTATCCTCATTTCCAGCTAAAGTCCTACAGCTTTTGTGTTGTGGTAGTGTCTCTACCTCTGGGCCAGAAGACGTGGGGCAAGTGGGACTTGAACCCATGTGTCATAAAATGGTGAAACAATCAACTAAAAATAACTGCAGCTGCAGTCCTCATCACCTGCTAGTCATGTGCGGCAGTTACAAGGTCTGCTGATTCACCTCACCCTATACAGGAGACAGCAATACACATACATTTCCTCCACAAAAAGGGAGTGTATTTGCTGCTTATGTTGCAATCTGCAATTAATACACAGGGGGCAGGGGGGAAAAAAAAGTCAGCAATTTGCCAATAACTCGCATTTTGGTTCAAATTATGAGCCTAACCTCCCCATTACTTCAAACACTGCTTCCCACAACACACTAACCTCAGTTTGGCTTCCTCCACTATTTCAATCAAGCTCAATGGAAGCTACAGGACCAACATCTCACCCTTTCCCTCTGATTTGATCCAAATACTGGCTTCAACAACTTTGCATTACAGCTTTCCTAGCATGGCCAACTTGCTTTGATGTACTGACCACTGGCATCTGGGAGATGCAGGGCGAAATGGGATGGCGAGTTGCCTTCTTGAGCCACAGCAATCCATGCACTGTAGGTTTGACCCACAATGCCATTAGGGACAGAATTCTAAGATTTTGACCCAGTGACAGTGAAGGAACAGCAATATATTTCCAAGTCGGGATGATGAGTGGCTTGGAGGGGAACTTGCAGGTGGCGGTATTCCCACGTATCTGCTGCCCTCATCGTAATAGATGAAAGTGGTTGACGGTGTACAAAAAGGTGCTGTCTGAGGATCTTTGGTGAATTTCTGCAGTGCTTCTTGTAGCTAGTACGTACTACTGTTACTGAGCCTTGATGGAGGAGTGAGTGGTTATGGTGCCAATCAACTGGGCTGCTTCGTCCTGGATGGTATCAAGCTCAATTATTGTTGGGAGTTGCACCCTTCCATTCCTCAAGTAAGGAGTATTCCATTGCATACCTGACTTGTACCTTGTAGACTGCGGACAAGCTTTGGGGAATCAGGTGGTGAGTGATTTGCTGCAGTACTCCTAGCCTCTCTCTTCTTGCTGCTGTATTTATACGGCAAGTCCAGTTGAGTTCTTGGTCAATGGTAACCTCTCAGGATGTAGTGGGGGATTCAGATTTGGTAACACCATTGAATGTCAAGGGGCAGTGGTTAGATTGTATCTCACTGGAAATGGTCATTGCCTGGCATTTGTATGCCACATGTCACTTGCCACTTGCCACTTGCCACTTGTCAGCTCAAGCCTAGGTCTTGTGGCATAAGCATCGACTGCTTCAGTATCTGACGCGGCACAATATTCAACACATTTGCAGCATCATTGGTGAACATCCCCACTTCTGACCTTATGATGGAGGGAAAAACATTAAAAGAAACAGCTGAAGATGGATGGACCCAGAACATTAGCCTGAAGCACTCCTGAAGGTGCCCTAGAGTTGAGATGACTGACCACCAACCACCGCAACCATTTTCTTACGTGCCAGGTATGACCCCAGCCAGAGAGTTTGGCCTGATACTCACTAATTCCAGTTTTGGTCAGACTTTGATGCCACACACAGTTGAACATGGCTGTTAAGCCAAGGGCTATCACTCACCTCACCTCTGGAATTCAGTACTTTTATCCATGAAACATTGGCACCACATCCAGAAGTGGCGCCAATCAAGCAGGCTGCTTTGTCCTGGATGTTAAGAAGCTTGCCGAGTGTTGTTGGAACAGCACCCACCCAGGCAAGTTGGGAGTATTCTATCATACTCCGGACTTGTAGGTGGTGGACAGGCTTGGGAGTCAGGACGTGGAGGTACTCGCCATAGCATTCCTAGCCTTTGAAATGCTCTTGTAGCTACTGGATTTATACAGTAAGTCCGGTTGAGTTTCTGGTCAGTGGTCTAGTCAATGAGGTCAGGAGCTGAGTGGCCCTGGTGGGACACAAATTGGCATCAGTGAACAGGTTATTGCTAAGCAGGTGCTGCTTGATAGCACTACTGCTGACACCTTCCAACATCTTCGTGATGATCAAGAGTAGACTGATGGGGTGGTAATTGGCTGAGTTGGATTTGTCCTGCTGTGTGTACACAGAACATATCTCGACAATTTGCCATATTGGTTGGGTAGATACCAGTGCTGTAACTGTACTAGAAATACTTGGCTAAGGGAGCAGCATGCTCTTGAGGACAAGTCTTCACTACTATCACTAGAATGTTGTCAGGGCCCACAGCTTTTTCAGTATCCGGTGCCTCCAGCTGTTTCTTGATATTATGTGGAGGGAATCGAATTAGCTGAAGATTAGCATCTGTGAAGCTGGGGAGCTCTGGAGGAGGCAGAGATAGATCATCCACTTAGCACTTCTGGCTAAGATTGTTGCAAACGCTTCAGCCTTATCTTTGGCACTGATATATTGGGTTTTTCCATCATTGAGGATGGGGATATTTGTGGAGCTTTCTCCACCGTTGAGTTGTTGAATTGTCCAGCACCATTCATAACTGGATGTGGCAGGACTGCAGAGCTTAGATCTGATCCCTTGATTGTGGGGTCTCTTAGCTTTGTTCGACACATGCTATCTATGCTGTTTGGGACGCAAGTAATACTCTTTGGTAGCTTGATCAGGTTGACACCTCCTTTTTAGGTCTACCTGGTGCTGCTCCTAGCATGCCCTTCTGCACTCTCCATTGAAGCAAGGTCGATCCCCTGGCTTGATGGTAATGGTTGAGCAGGGGATATGCTGTGCCATGTCATTGCAGATTGTGCTGGAGCACAATTCTGTTGCTGTTGATGGCCGAAAGCACCTCAATGGATGCCCAGTCTTGAGTTGCTAGATCTGTCCCAGTTAGCATGGTGATACTAACATGATGTAGGATATTCTCAATGTGAAGGTGGGACTTTGTCTCCACAAGGACTTTGCGATACTCACTCTTACTGATACGGTCATCTACAGCCAGCAAATTGGTAAGCATGAGGTCAAGTATGCTCTTCCCTTGTTATTTTCTTCACCACCTGCTGCAGACCCAGTCTAGCAACTGTGTCCTTTAGGACCTGACCAGGTTGAACAGTAGCACTGCTACCAAGCCACTTTTGATGGCAAACATTGAAATCCTAAACCCAGTGTATGTGATGTGCTGTTGCCATCCTCAGTGGAAGGTGCACTATACTTGGTAATCAGTAGGATGTTTCTTTGCTCACGTGTAACCTGAAACCATGAGACTTCATGAAGTCTGGAGTCAAATACTGAGGACTTCCAGGCAACTCCCTACCAAGTGTATACCACTGTGCTGCCACCTCTGCTGGGTCTGTCCTGCAGGTTGGACAGCACATATTCAGGGATGATGATGGTGGTATTTGAGAGATTGCAATGTTTGATTCAGTGAGTATGACGGTTAGGCTGTGGCTTGACTAGTCTGAGAGACCGCTCTAATTTTGGCACTAGCACCCAGATAGAAGGAGGACATTGCAGGGTCGACAAGGCTATTTCTGCCATTGTCTCTTACAGCACCTAGGTCAATGCCAGGTTGTGCATCCAGTTTCAATTTTTTGTTGAGACTTCATAGTGATTGATACAACCGAGTGTCTTGCTAGGCCATTTCAGAGGGCAATTGAGTGTCAGTCAACTACATTGCTGTGGGATTGGAGTTATATATAGGCCAGACCAATGTGATCCTCAACATTATCAGAGTTTCTGGATTAGTGTTGGGGTAATACCACTGGGCCATTGCCTCCCATACTGTCCCTCATGTTGCCATTTTCTGTGGAATCCTGTGTTCGAGACAGTTCATTGTTTGGCAGGCGGTGGGTGGACATATCAAGTTGATTAGGAAGTTAGGCAGAATGAAATCTTTTTTCGGTGCTGATGCATCTATACATTTCATTTTTTGCTTTATTTCGTGGTTAGTGAACGTGACTTTTTATTTTTTCCAATTTTTCCCAAATTCTTGCACGTGTCTTTTTACATCTTGCGTCTCTTCATCATTTATGTTTATATGATCACTGATAAGATTTCACTTCATGCCAACATGTAAACAGGTTTGCTCCAGTTTAATCCCATTAATGTGACAGAAAGCAACTTTTTTGGTACTTTTAAAACCGACTAGTCTCCCTTTGGTTCATTCAGATGTGTTACACTTCCCGTATTGAAGGAAGGTCCACAGCTAAAAATATTCTTATCAGATGCTTCCAGCATTTTCTGTTTTACTTTCCCAAAGTTCAAAGTCAACTATACCCACAATTACTATGATTCTTGATATTAAAAATCTGAGCAGCTGAAGGGCAGCTAGGGCACTGGTGAGCTTTTCATCTTGCATTCAAGACAGATTTTAAAGCAGACAACAATTACTATTGCCAAACAATTGGCATCCCTTTTTACCCAATTGCGATTATTCGAGGCACTAGCACGGGGAGTGCATCTGGGAACAACTGTTCCCTAAACTAAGAAGGGCACACTACATGGACGTGTTCTTATTATTTGCAGGGCACTGTGCTCTGCAAACGAATGCTTACTGAAAGCCGCAAATAATGAGATATGCATTCCCCACAGCAATGCCTCAACCAGAGTAGAATTAAAATGAAACTGAACAAAAAACAAACTTTGAGTTAATCGTTAACTGGTGGATTCTTCATGGCAACACCTCTGGCAGATTCCACCTGCCATCCAATCAGCACATTTTCCCTCATGAAATACAAGTTGGTGGTCCCCTCTTAAATATGACATTTTGCATCTGTCCTGACGAGTACAAGACAAGAAACATCAACATCTCTTTTTTTCAGCCATATTCAAGTACCAAGCTACCCAGCGACTAAAGATACCTAATAGCACAACACACTGCTTATACATGAATGCAACAAGTAGGGAGAGTTTGGGGGTGGTAGTTGGACAATTTCCATTTTAAATACACAGCATGGAAATCATTAGGTACAGAACTCTTGCTAGTGGAGAAAGTACCCAAAGGACTTTATCATCTTTTTAGCCACATTCTAGCTTCCACCAACATAGTTGCCAATTTAGTTGAAGTTATAACATAACTAAATTGTTCTGTGGATCTAACCTCCTGAGGAATTAGACAGGGTTCCCCAGACTCATTTTTCATTGGGCTTAAAAGTCAAAGTGAGAACTCACTGATTAACTACTTTGCCCTAAACACAAGACTTATTTTTAAACTATTTTGTTCAAATGGATACTGTCACTATCTCCAAAGCATGTGCTCAGAAAGAAGAGGATGACTCACCAGATAACAGATCAGCAGTAAGACTATTTTCAGGCAAAGGAGAAGCCCCACGAGAAGGGGTTGAAAAAGCATCTTTGGAAAGTGAAAGCAAATAAATATCAATAATTGAGAGATCAATTAGTCCCTTTTCCAAAAAAAAAGTGTTATATACAATTTTAAATTTAAAATGGATTCCAAAAGATTATACGAAATACTCGTAGATTTCTCAGTGTCAGATGGGAACCGAAGCTTTTCCTGTTTTGTACCTGATGCAAACAGGTCTACACTAGGAGCTGTTTCTGGTTTGGGAGTTGTAGATGCATTTGGTTCAGGTACTGAATCAAACAAATCTAAGAGCAAAAATAAGATATATTAATTTTCCTTTCTCACATGAAATCTCCATGATAAAAGAAGCTTGCATACATTTAAAAGACACTTATCAAATATATCTATTAACACAAGCTAACCTCCAACCAGGAGGTATTTAAAACATCCTTGGCACGAATGTGCATAAGTTTACAAGGCATTAAAACTTAAATTTGCTGCATTATTACCATCTTAGATCAGAAATGGCAAGATAAAGAATAAAATTACCACCAAAAATATCAAGAACAGGTGCAGTGGTGGTGACAGGAGTATCAGCAGTTGTAGTGGTAGGAGGAGCAGTAGTAGGAGGAGGAGTAGTAGTAGTAGCAGTCGCAGTAATAGTAGTAGCAGTAGTAGTAGTAGTAGCAGCAGTCGCAGTAGCAGTAGCAGTAACAGTAACAGTCTCAGTCGTAGTCACACTAGTTGTTGTGCTGGTAATGGCACTAGTAGTTGTACTGGTAGTTGCACTGGTAGTTGCACTGGTGGTGGGGGTAGTTGCAGGAACGCTGGCCTCAGCAGGCTTCATAGCAAAAAGGTCCAGTTCAGCAGCAGCCTCTGCACTACCTTCAGATGGTGCAAAAGGGTCTTTGGAAATGGATAGAGGTGGGAAGAGAGAGGGTCAGAGGATGGAAAGTTAAAGGTTTACAATCAAGAAACTAGGGTTAACATCTACACAGCAGTAGAGTGATTTATTTCTCCATAAAAGTAGTAATTGACACTTCATTAACCCTGCCACATACATGTCTAAAAAGTTCTAAAAGTTCCATTTATACAAGTTTAAAAAAAATTGACACTTTTTTGTCTTGCACTCATTAAGATATTTTGCAAGAATACAAATTTAAGGGGAAGAGTAACTTTTACTGCATAAGAAGAGACTGCTTGTTGGTTGGCAAGTGGGCTCTGCTTGGGAAGAGGAGTCACTATGTACACACCTATTAATGCTGATTGACAGATTAACTTTGTTAAAGCTTAAACCACAGGTTGACTAAGAGGCTGATCAAACAGTCAGTCAGCTTGCATGCATTCTCCATAGTTATACCTCTACCAAGCAATTACCATTTTATCCTCATGCATAAAACATTAGCTTTCCCATTTAATGTGTTTTTGCGAAATAGCCTGATGAGTGCAAGACAAAAAGCTTAAACAAAATGCTTTTATTTAAATAACGCTCAAGTTCTGTATTTACAAATGACTATTTGTACAGGGGTTAATTTACATTAATAAGCAAATAACATTCGATACATTCTTCGCACAGAGAAACCAAAATTATCACAAAATAATAGCAACACCTCACCAAATCAGGAAATTATACTGATTAGAGAATTATGAATAGGATGCTCTGTGATTTTTAAAATGTCAAAAGCACTCCTTGTTTAAATAATTAGTTCGCTAGTGTTTTAGATTAAAATGTAAGCTTTGCCCTTTAAAGAATGCTGATGACATCAGTTTAAGTGGTGTTTTTATGCTTGATGATATGAAGAATAATGGGACTGTCTTAGTAACAATGGATAAAGAATATCTGGCTGAATCAGAGCCCATAATTGATCCCGAGCTAAACTTTAGACCTCAAATGGAGGCTCTGGAATGGAGAAGACAGATTTTCAACTTTCAGCTAAAAGTCACCACAAATTAGTTAAAAGTACATATTCCAGACTGCAGATGGGAAGTCTTCAGATTTGGTCTTCCCAATTCGGCAGTAAGCATGGCAAATAAATGCTCTATAGTCGTTCACTAATACACATGACAGAAAACTGGCTGACTTCCATACCAGTTCATGAAGGTATTTGAGGCATTGTGGACAGGAAAGGACAGTGAACCAACACATGGGTGATGAGTGAGGATAGTGCCATCTGTATAAATAAAGCAGACTTCTGAGCAAGTAAACACCTCTAGAGGAAATCAGGTTAGCTAGAAAAGCTGCACTTTCAACAAGCTGAAATAAACAGTGAAACCTACTGGGTGGGAATAGAAGGGAGGAGCTGGGTAGCAGTTGGATAGAGATTATTGAGAGGCTAGGAGGAGAATACTCCTGGTCTCAAAAAAACTTTTGTTTTTTTATTAAAAAGCTGACAGTTTCCAAAAGGTGACTGTGTGTACTCTTTTTAGGAATCTTTGGTTAGGTCCTGAATAAAACTACAGATGATACTCACTTGCATGTTCAAATTGCACTTGGTCCTGAGACCAATTAAACAGCTTGGTCTATTGAGAAGGTGGTCTGGGCACATATTGAAAGGCCTACCTAAGAATCATGAACAGCACACAAAGGGGTGTCCACCCTATTTTCTGCAACTCGTCATCCATTTTACATGCAAGAAATAGTTGGCTAGTAGTTGCCAACTACTATTCATACTTTCTTGATCACTTAAACAATTCAAGTCTCATCTATCACAAATCCAGTTAAATCCCATCCTATTAAATGGCTTTTAACACTTTGAAATTTGGTTATTCTAACTGTTCCTTTGCTAGCCTGAATTTCCCCAGAAATTCAATTTGCTTGGCACAACCCTGTTCACCCATCAATCTTGTCGACCAAGAATGGCTACTCAGTTCCAATTCTTCAAATTTTTCCTGGCCTCATATCATTCTTTCTCTGTAATCTTCAGTCTTTTGTAGAAAAAAAAATTGATTTGGGCACCACTGGCTAGACCAGTATTAACAACCCATCTCTCACTGCCCAGAGTGGAGTTAGAGCCAACCACATTGCTATATACCCAGTTTCAGAAGGAGGTTAGACAAAGCATGAATGGCAGATTTTCTTCCCTTAATGACATTCGTGAACCAGCTAGGATTTCATCAACCATCAACAGTGGTTACAAGATTAATAGGTTAGCTTCTAATGCAAGATTTATTTTATTGGATTCCACTTTCACCATCAGCATGGTAGGATTCAAATTCATATTCAAACACAAACCTGGAGTTTTGGATTACTAATCCAGTGACATTACACTGCACTGTCATCTCTCTCTATTGCCATATTTCTCTGAATAGCCTTGACATCTTCTACAGCCTTGCCTCCTTTCATCGCCACTGATCTTATTGCTAATTTTAGCCTTTCCCAAGATATTGCATTGCTAAACTCCTGTACCATTAAAACCTGCATTTATATTGCACAACACTGATCATTGCATCCCAAAGCAGTTTACTGCCCATGCTTTATGTGCAATTGCTTTAGGATCCACGGGAACCAAAATATGCCATGTCACAAGGGATAAACTCCCCAGTTCTTTGAATAGGGCCTAATCAGCTTGTATAGCTACCAAAATATGGAAACAAGGCTTCGGGTCACATGATTCACCCAGAAAAAGCACCAGCAAGGCAGCAGTCTCTCAATGCATCACAACAATATCAGCTCCATGGGCAAGTGCAATTAATTGAAATAAGGAAAGCTTCTAATCATCCTTCAAATTCCCCTTTTTGCATTACAATTTCCATTGCCAGGACCCTGAAATTTATATTGAAATGGGGGGTACTGCGGTGCACAGTAGAGGGAGAGGGGGGGACCCAGAATTCCCAGGAGAGCAGAGATTACTCCATAACAGGCCCTCTGTAATTCTCTTCTTTCCATTTCCTGCCTAGCAGCCAAATTGAAAAACTAGGAAGCCATAGGTAGGAGACTGCTGCCGGTACTGCTGGTGTTCCAGCAGTTGAGAAAGACTGGGTTTGCTGGAGTATGGCGGTGAGGTAGTGAGGGTTAGGAAGCGGACAATCTGGATGGACCAGTGATTAACAGAGTCAACTTCTGCCTAGGAGTTGGCTCAGTATTAGGAACTGGAGGTGGGATGTCAATCATGGTTGGGTTGGTCGGAGGGGCGTGGGGAGGGAAGTGGAAGAAGCTGCAACTAACAGCTGGGAGGTCTCGAAGGACCAATGACCAGATTTCCACAAGAGATCAGTTAAGACTAGTCCTACTCCTCTTTGCTCACAAGGAGTGTTCCAACTACAGACCTGCTGGACACAACTGCTCTCTCCTCCATTCCACTAGTTCTTGGAAACTCAGCCAGCAACTGCTTTTTTTTTAAAAAAAAAAAAATCAAGCTCCCATATACACATACAACATAATTTAGACCAGTGAAGTTCCTGTAGAAGTGGCGTTGAAAACCACTCAATCAATTCCCCTGGGTTTCTACCAATCTTATGATTAAAATTATGGGGTCCAGGATAACCCAAAATAAGTGTTTAATACAAAAGCCCAAAAAACTCTGTGGTACAGATGAAGCAGTCTGCTCATATTTGAGATTTTTGGACATTGATAGAAATGCTGTGCAGACCAAAATTATGCCACCAGTTACTGTTTTAGCCAGGTAGATTGTAGCAGCAACAGAAAAATATGTCACTCAGATTACACTGCACTGGTCGTGGATGCATGATAGGATGTTGCCTGCAAAGAGTAAATTCATTGCAGGGGGAAAATAGTGGGGAAGAGACATTGAGGAAGGGAAGTTGACAGAAATGAGAAGGAAAGCAGTTCAGGAATCAGTACAGAATTGGGCACTCAAATATTAGCTTTCAGAGCAATATGAAACAAAGTAAATTAGCGTTACAAATTTATGGGATAATAGGAACATGGCAGGGACTGCTGACAACACACAAGGATATTTAGTTCTGTTTTTAAGGATACAGAAAAGCTCCCATGCAATTTATAAACACTGGATTATTTTTTTCTCTGCACAAAAAGCAAAGTAGATAATAGTATATGCTGTGAAAAAAAAAACTTGATAAAAATCGGAAACTCAGGTTATCTTGAGAAATTCCACACCAATAATGAAAAACCAAAAATGTTGTTAGTTCAATGACAACTATAAGTAAACTAATGATAAAAGACCCACCAGTTCCAGCACATGCATCAAGCGCTGCTGCTGCAGGGGCTGCTGCTGCTGCTCCTGCCCCTTCAGATGTTGTTGATTCTTCAGTAGGCGAAGCTGCAAATGCATCTAAGATGCATTACCAACACCATTCACAACAGAAAATGGGAGAGAAAAGCAAAAAGGAGACAGGGATATACAGAGCAAGAAACAAGTCACAAGTCTGTAAGCTAAAGGCAAATAAATGCCCCCATTTACAGTATTCAAATTCCCCAAAATTCAAGACAAAATGTTGGAATTTTAGCCATGCAAGAAATCACTTAAGGGTGGATGGTTGAGGGCTTTGGGGGTGGGGATTGAAGAGTAGGATGAGGGAAGAGTTCAGCTATTTCCCATTAGACAGCAAAGATAAACACAAATTGAAAATGTGAAACAGCATGTCAACTCCCCTTGGAAGTGTGCATTATTCTGTATTCACATTTGATTATGCATTCACATTTTAAAGCATCATATTTTACCACTTTGATGGTAATTTACTGTGCGCTTTTAGAAGTTAAACAATTTGCAGGCCTATAATCACTTTAACAAATTGTAACAAAATAGGTAAAGAATGTATACACTAGCAGGACATCAGTCTGCACTTTGTAATAATCAGGATAAAATTATGTTCTCCAAAGCAACTGGTATAGTTTTGTTTTCATTTCACATCCCATGCTTGAATTCAAAGCACCATTTTCAACTTCAGTTACATCCTTTAAGGCTCAAACACCTGTTTCTCCTCTTACATGCCTGAACCTCAAACTGAAACATGATAAGAATTGAAACAAAAATGATAGTACAGCACTACTAGTTGGTCAGAGCATCAAGTGGGGCTGTTTTGAGGTGAATAAACTGAGACAATCCTAATCAAAGTCACAAATAACATCCCAAGCAATTGTGGATGTAATAAACATTGATCTCTCTTGACTTGTTAATATATTTCAATTCATCTGATCATAGTATCTTCCTCCATTGCTTCAGCTTCTATCATCCAAATGGGTGCAACTGCTGTCACCTAGTTCCATTTCTATCTGCCTTATCTGCTCATTGTGAAGGCAATCTCCTAAAATCTCTCTTTGGTCCCCACGGTTCTTATCCATAAGCCACCCCTTGGCAACTATGATGAAAGGTGCATAGATTACTTTTGGAATTTGGATTTCAAAATGGAGGTTGACGGGTGGGTTATTTCTGTATAAAGGTTTTCTTGTTTTAAAAATAGGTTAGAATCATACAGCAAGAGTGATCTAAATCTAGCAGTCTGTCAGACAACAGACCCTGTGACATTATTGAAAAGAAGCTTATGCCGTTGGGTTACAACAGGCATAGTAAACATTTTTGAAAATGTCATTGATGGTATGTTGGCTTCAGTATTGGGTCAACACTTGAGGTGGTGATGTGGTGAACTGTCTTCACGAACGACTAGTCCACATGCTGCAGGCCCATCCTGCTGGGAAGTGAGATCCAGGATTTTAATTCAACAAACATTGGAAATATCTCGCTCCTCCTCCAAGTTATGATGGTGCAAGGGACTTAGGAGGAACCTGCAGTGGCATTCCCATGGATCTATCACCTGTCTAGATGGTGGCTGCTGTGTGTTTGGAACATGGTGACCAAGGAGTATTGACAAGTTACATGCAAGGCCATTTACTTCCTTTTAATTTCAGAAGAATCCAGGATTAAAGGTTTTTTTTTGTAATTTAGAAGACGTCAGTATTGAATTCAGAAGCAATTTTTTCTCCTAGAGTTCAGTGCAATTCACAGAACTCAAGAGTTCAGTTTTAGAACCTCCCAAAGCAGGAGTTTGATTAGAAACCTGCAGGTTATTTGAATTGAGAAAATTAGACTGTCAGTTGTGTGAAATGTTGGCACTTCGAGTTGAGATAAGGGTATTAATTTCTTTGGATTTGACTCTATAAATGGAGAATGTTGGTAAAGATTGAAAACCCTTGCTTAAATGCATTGTAAAAGATCATTATAACTACCTTCCATATGTAAATAGTTTACTTTTTAAAAAAAATCTGAGATAAACTTCTGTTTTTGTTAAAGAAAATCTGCAGCCTTGTGTGAATATCAACTGTTAACTAACTAAACAAGACAAAAAACAAATTATAAATCTATCAAAGGGAGTAGGAACTGCTGATGCTGGAGTCTGAGATAACAAGGTGTAGAGCTGGATGAACACAGCAGGCCAGGCAGCATCAGAGGAGCAGGAAAGCTGACGTTTCGGGTCTGGACCCTTCTTCTGAAAAGGAACTTCTTCACTCAGAGGGTGGTGAATGTTTGGAGTTTTCTACCCTTGAAACAAAATTAGAAATTGCTGGAAAAAACTCAGCACGTCAGGCAGCATCTGTGGAGAGAAAGCAGATTTAATGTTTTGGGTCCAGTG